CAGGCGCCCCAGCATCTGACTCTCGATCTCGGCCCAGGTCATGATCTCACGGGTTTGTGAGTTCGAGCCCCGTGTCGGGCTCCACACGGACGGTGCAGAGCCTGCTTGGGAGTCTCTCTCACTCCTCTCTCTGTCCCTTCCCTACTTGCTATCTCTGTCTCTCTCAAAATAAATAAATCAATGCAAAAAAAAAAAAAAGAGATTAACTGACGTTATTTTTTAGAGGAGTTTTGAAGCAAAACAGTGGAAGTACAGAGCTCCCACGTGCCTCCTGTCCCCACCCACATGGGCGTGATGCCTTTGGGACCGTGGAGAGAGACATCGACGCCAGCCCTTCTAAGTGGGCTTCTGTCTTCCCTCGGGAGGACTCTGGAAGTCTCCGGACTTTGAGGCGATGGCAGGATCCCCAACCATTTAGCGAGGCGGGTTCCAGCCTGGGCGCGGGCCAGCATCGCCTTCCTCTTCACAAGTTCGGGGACCCAGATCTCGGCCCAGCCGTGCGGCCTGGGTCTGTAAAGGGTGGCGCCGCGCAGCTCTGCTCCACAACCGCAGGGCCCGGCGGGCCGAGAACACATCAGGCAGTTTCCAATCCTTGCGTCGTTTCCCTGACGAGGCCCTGGCTCGGGGCAGGTTTGGATACGACTCAGTCCAAGTACTGGTACCATCGAGAAGGAGAAGGGACTTGGCTCCAAGGGGAAGACAGACACCGTGGGGGGGTGGAGGGGGAGAGGGCGCCCGGGCACGCTGTCTTCCGCCCTGGGACCCGGCATGGTTTTTGGCCCGATCTTCACCTGGGGAGGTCATTTCTGCTGTCAACACCAGCAGCCAGCCTTTCCGCGTTGGGAGGGGCTCCACGGGGCACCCGGGGCACCTGCACGTTCTGTGCACGGGGACGCTGTGGGGCGGCGACGGCCGAGGGCACACGGCTGTGGCTCCGGCCGAGAGAAGGAGCGCCTGGCCGGTTCTCCTCGCCCTCGCGTCCTCTCTTCAAACCCAAACCACGGTGGCCTCGGCCGCCATCACCATAGCCGTTGGCCGCTGGGGTTCGCGGAGCCGAGGGCACCGGCCAAGCCCCTCCCTGTGGAGACACAGGGACGGGCGAGCCGCCTTTCCGACCCTCGTCCTCGAGTCGTCTTGTGTTTCACGTGAGATCTCTGGGGACTGCCCACGCCCGTCGCGTCCCAGGCTGCGTGTTCCAGACCCGTCTCTCTGTGGCACCTTCAGTACCGTTTATACGATGGCGGGCAGGTGCCCAGCGAGGCGGCAGGCACCAGACATGGCTGATGGCTCTCTGTCCTCTGGAGGCTCTGTCTCTGGGAGGAAAGACGGGAACGCCGTCCGCAGCCGAAGGCCCAGCGTCTCCGGGCCTGGTCTTCTAGTGGCGCCAGCAGATTTCTGTACGTCACCTGTGCTCGTGTGGTTAGTGGGTGCTGCAGGCGCGGGCCGAGCGGATTCAAAGAAAATCTTCTTAGTTAAAGTCTGTCAAGCAAAAAGAAGGGTGTGGGTGCGAAGGGGCCTACGGGGGGCGCCTGGGGGCTCAGTCGGTTGAGGGTCCGACTTCGGCTCAGGTCATGATCTCACGGTTCGCGGGTTCGAGCCCCGCGTTGGGCTCTTTGCTGACAGCTCGGAGCCTGCTTGGGATTCTTTCTCTCCCTCTCTTTCTCTGCTCCTCCCTGAACTGAAAAAAATAACTTAAAAAAAAAAGATGACTTTTTAAAAAATGTTTATGTTTTAGAGAGAGAGAGAGAGAGTGGGGAGGGTCAGAGAGAGAGAGAGGGAGATACAGAATCGGAAGTAGGCTCCAGGCTCTGAGCTGTCAGCACAGAGCCCGACACGGGGCTGGACCCCACGAATGGTGAGCTCATGACCTGAGCAGAAATCGAATGCTTAACTGACCCAGCCACCCAGGTGTCCCAAAAAGAGATGACATTTGATCTGAGCTCTGAAAGTTGAGGACAAGTTCATTCGGCGAGGGAGGAGGGGCAAAGGCAAAGGGAGAAGGAGACACGGCTTGTCCCTGGGGGGCAGTCCCTGGCAGCGGGGCGGGAGGACACGGGAGCCCTGGGCAAGGGGGCCTGAGCTGGGGGCGTGGAGGCCTTGAGTGCCATGTTCAGGAATTTGGATTTTACACTCTGGAAAATGGGAATTTCTCAAGGATTTTGAGGCAAGGGAGGATGTGGCCACATTTATTTTAGAAGGAGAGTCCGGGCCCCGGCGTAGAGGTCTGGGAGGCCAGGAGAGGAAGGTTCTGGAGGCAGGGGCCTGGCCATTCTTCCTTCACCAGTGGCTGTGCAGGGCGCTGGGATGCAGTGGTGCGTGAGGCTGCCTGCCCCCTTCTCTCCCAGGGCTTACCTTCTAGAACCAGAATCTAATGGAAGGGGTGAGAGAAGCAAAGGCAAACACACCAGTGAACCAGCTGACCTGAGATGATTTCAGAATGGTTAAGGGCTGGAAGGAGGTCAGACAGGGTGCCGGGCGGAGGGGCTCACTTCCGCTGGCCGGTCACGGAGGTGGGGGGTGGGGGACATGATTTAATCAGGGAGAAGGATGAGAGCGGGGGACGGGGGACGGCGCTTGGCCGAGGGGAGAAGGCTGCTGCCCGGGGGAGGCTGTGCGGGTGCAGAGTGGGGGCGGGGCGGGACGGGGCAGGGGCGTGGGGGGTGGGAGGGGCCGCGGTGCTGGAATGGGGCACGCGGCTCAGCGAGAGCGGACAGCGGGCGGTGAAGACAGAGAAGCTGCAGGTGCCTGAGCCAAACGTGGGGGACGCAGTCCTCTGGGCGAATTTCCACTCGTTCTTTTCTTCTTTGGGTCTCCCCCCCTTTGGGTTTTAACACGATGATTGCCAACCTTTGTTCAGCTCACTGACCGAGGTTTTCGAAACGCAAGGTTTTGGGTGGTGAGATCTTCATGGGGTGGAATTTGGGGGGATCCGGACTTCAGGGGGTGCCTGCCACCCCTGAGAGCGGAAACTGACGGCTGGAGTTTGGGGCAGTGCAGGGAGGGCCCCAGGGACACGGAGACTTGCAGGCTGGTGGAGGAAGAGGACCCTACAAAAGGCGCGGGGACAGCCAGGGGCGGGGGCAGCTGGCTCTTGGATTTCTGCAGGGGTTCCTTTGTTTCTTTCTGAAATATTTATTATTGGGAGAGTGCGAGCAGGGGAGGGGCAGGGAGCGGGGACGCAGGATCTGAAGCGGCCGTGAGCCCCACGTGGAGCTAGAACTCACGAACGGGCGAGATCACCGAGATCACTAAGATGCTCAACCGACTGAGCCCCCCGGGCGCCACCTCTGCGGGAGCTCCTCTAAGAGAAGCACCAGAAACGCCAGAGGTCAGAGGTCAAAGGGCACAGATCCGGTTCTGCCGCTTCCTGCTTTGGTGACTTAGGGCAACAGCTAGGTCACGTCTGCTCTGCAGCTTCCTCGTCTTAGGGGAGTGACAGACGTGTGAGGTCAGGGCTCCGACGTCGCCCTCCTTGGAGGCTGGCGCGTCCCCGTGTCCTGCTTTCCGGCACAAGCGCAAGCCTGGGGCAGACACAGAGGGCTTTCCATCTCCCGGCACCGGGGCGCCGGTAGCACCTGCGTCCCCAAGTCCCGTTATGGGAGCCCGGATGGAAGCCCGAGGTCTACACTGCAGCTGAATTACGCGAAGGATCCCCCTCTCGCTTATCTTGTTCTTTGTCCTGGACGGACACCTCATTCTCGGACGGCACTTGCTGCCAACACGCCCGGAGCGACGGCCTGGGAGCAGAGCCGTCAGGCCTCAGCCCACGTGGGTCCTCGGCAAGAAGGGAGGGGGCACCAGGACCCCCCGGAGGGCTGTTGCCCAAGTGGGAGCCTCGGGGGCCTCGGGGGAAAGATGGAGAAGATAATGTGGCTCTCAAGGGTGACTGTCATTACTCGGGGTGACAATGGAGGGGAAGGCAGAGCGGAAACTGTGTCTCCCTTCATGCAACCCCCGGCCCCCCACGGACTGAGGGTCCCACGTGCCGGGCACAGGCCATCCCTATGCCCAGGTGCTCCAACCCGGGTGGGGAGCGAGCAGGGGGTGCTCCGGGGGGCAGGGCCGTGTCGGTAACAGGCGGCGCGCAGAGAACAGACTTGGGGGTGCTGCCAGGCTAACGGATGGAGACGGGGACAGCTCTGGAGAGGAGGGGCAGGTGCTAGCTTGCGCGGTGGCAGCGGAGGGAGACCTCACCACCCCCATGGTGGCCGTGCAGGTGGAAGGGCCAAGGGCCGCAGTGCTGAATGTGACCAGGGAGGCGGTGACCCACTGGCTGTCCCCAGAAGGGGCTGCCTCGGGTCCTAGAGGGAGAAGCCAGCCCGCAGCAGGGTGAAGAGCCAGTCACTGGCGTCAGCGGGCAGAAATCTATTCCAGAATCTGTCGTGCAGGAGAGGACCCGAGATCTTGCAGAATTATTTCGCCAGAGGGACGAACGAGTAGGAAACGAAAAGTTGACCTCGCGGGAGGGCACAGCAAACAAGGCCCGGGGAAGGATGGGGTGAGGAGCGAGGAGTGGGGGCAGCTCCCGAGGTGAGGGAGGAGAGAGGGGTAAGGAAGGGGCGAGAGCGCGGGTAGGTGTCTGGTAGCAAAGCATTCTTTCAGGGAGACAGCGATGGCCTCCATCTCCTCCCTGAACTAGGAAGCACGGTGACCAGAGAGCCGAGTGAAGGGCGCTGGAGACCTGCGGAGAATTCTGGAGACTGGGGGAGGGGAAGCCAGCACAGGACGGGTAGGTGAGGAGGTGGGCAGGAGACCGAAGGGCCAGCAGGACCTGCGGGAAGGAGAGCGCACAGGAGCCCTGGGGCCACGGTGATGGGGGCAGTGAGGCAGGAAGGCCAAGTGGCCTTCTCAGCAGCGAGGAGAGGGTCAGATGTCGCCTTCCATCTCCACCTCGGAAGTGCCCCGCTGGCTCCTCTCTCCGCCCTCTGAAGGAGACGAATCCAAGGGTAGTAGGTTTTGAGCCTCGGGAAGACCCCCATCAACGCACACAGGCCAAACAATGGTGTTTCTCTCTTTTATTTAAAAACAGTGCTTCATTACCATTTGCAAAGGCAGAGGCAGCGCTCCTCCTTTGCTTAGAGTTTATAAAAGCCAGCAACATGATCAATAATTTATACACATGGATAGTAATACAAAAAAATAAGGAATAAAAGCTAAAGATCTAACTACTCCGACCTTCACAATTCCAGCTACTTGATAATAAGAGGAGTAACCCAATGAATACTGTATGGTCTGAAAGCTACTATACAATATGATTCTTAACGAGAAGGGGAGGGAGTCAGAGACTGTCACAAAGCCCTGGGGTGCTTCTCTGGAGTTTGCGGGGAAACAGGACCCGGGGCAAGCAGCTCGGGGGCCCTAGGAAGTGACTCTGGGGGTGGGGGTGGGGAGAGAAGGCGAGGTGGTCAGTTATACAAGCATCCCATGTGATGCCCCCGTGCCCCGAAGGTACCTGCTCAGCCATGGCAATGGGAGGGGCCGGAGAAGCTGCATGGTGTGTGTTGGGGTGGTCCAGTCCCTGCCATGGGGGGTGGGGAGGAGAGGAGAGGTTCTGTGGCGTTTTCAGCCTTGCAAAGATTTGGACTGAAAGGCTCAGGGACACAGGTCGGTCCGCCGTCAAGGACGCGAGTCGACCATGCTGGCTCTCTGAGCGCTTGAGCCCTAGCTTACGTGGGTCAGCCCTAGGTGGGCTCCAGCTATTCACAAGCAGAATTAGAACACAAGGAAAAAAAAAAACCCAAAACAAAACAATTCATATCCCTTCGGGGGAAAAAAGAGGATCAATTCATCACTCGATATATAATACAGCCAAAACGAGCTGCCGGAAACAAGCACACACACACACACACGCACACACGCACACGCACGCACACACACACAAATACTGTGAACAGAAAAATATAAGAAAATGGCTAAGCTGGGAGTCTCAGTGGGGTAGAGACATTGCTTAAAGCACTTATCAGTCCCCAGAAAAACTAAAAGTCATTTAAAAAAAAAAAAAATTCAAAAACGATTGTACCCCCTGGGAATCTGGTGTGGGCAACTGGGGCCGGGGGTGGGGAGAGGAAGGAGAATTGATGTTCCCTTTTTGCTTGCCGGTGTCACCGAGCCTTCCCCACACCGGCGCGTGTGACCAGCCGGACACGGAGAGCCCCTCCCCCCGCCGGCGGTCTCCTTAAAGGCAAGGTTTGCGTTTTGGCTGATGAGCAGTTCCCTCGGTTACCAATCCCTGCCAAGCAGCACTACCATGGCTGAATTGATCTACCGTTTTCCTGAGTAAACTGTAACTGGCTACAGTTCCGGTAACGTGGAGAACGAGTCGGCGGCTACAGCCAACCCCGGTACCGAGGAGTCCCCTCCGCCCTGGGCTCCTCATTCCTGGTACACCTGATTCAGGAACTGGAGACCTCGCTGGAGTCTGGCTCGCGAGCCTAATTTTCAAGAGAGGCGCCAGGGACGCGACTGCACTCACTAAACCAGAGGGCACGTGCTGGCTTAGGACACCCAGAGCCGACCCGGAGAGAGAGGGCCCTGCTTCACGCTCTAGCTCTTGGATGGCTATTGCCTGGTTGATCAGTAAAGCAAGTATGAAGGAAGTACACGGGGAAAGGGAAAGGGAGGGAAGAAGAGGTCTGTGGACAGTAACGTTACCAAAAAAAAAAAAAAAAAAAAAAGAAAGAAAGAAAAAAAAGAAAGAAAAAGGAAAACAAGATCGTGTTTTATGCCACAGAGAATCAAGAGTCACTGGTGTTTACTACAAATGGTCAGACATTTTCAAGAGCATGACAAAATAAAAACACACGAGTTTATGTCTGATGTTCACCTTGCCCACTATTTTTTTTCCTATCTTATAACAGTGAAAACAGGTAACTTATGCTTTTCAAAACACCACTACCCCTTCCCCGTTCCCCCTCCCCCCAAAGTCCCTTTCTTCCTATCATCTGGGGGCGGGGGAGAAAGTCTGCGATTCTGCAAATGTTAACTGGGCTGGAGGCTGCGAGCGGCAGAGGAGGCTGGACTCGGTGGGAGGGGAGGGCGCAGGCGGCCTCCCCTCCCCCGTCCTGGCCGCTGTGCATTCGTGTTCCTGCCCCAGGAAAGGGGGGCGATTAAGGCCTTCTTGTGGGTCCTCGGGGTGGCTTCGATCCCAGGTCTACACCTCCCTCCCGTCTGGAAGCTAAGTGGCCGGTGACGGGGGCGCGGGTGGTGACTCACCCACGTGTCCGCTAGGAAAGTAAGAGCGGGGCAGCCCCTAGGAGTTATGCTTTTGAGGAAGAGCTGCGGTCACTGGTTCTACTGAGTACTGTCCTCCAGCTCCCCCGAAGCCGGGAGCCCCAGCCCCCTTTTTTCTCAGGGAAGAACACCACCGGCTCAGCCCCACCTGTGGCTGTTGGAGGGTGGTGGCGATGGCAAGTTCGTAAAACCCGAGAGCCTTAAAAACGACGAGTTGCAACGGCTGACCCGGGTTCGAGGGGGCTGAACCGTGGAACCCAAGGGATTCCGGAAAAGACCTACGGGCAGCTCTCTGGGCTGAAAGAGGGAGCCTGAGAGAGAGGTTCTCACTGGGGATCTCCTTCAAGGAGCCCAGCTTTTCTGGGAATAAGACACTGGGCACAGAAGTCCAAGCCGGGAGCTACGGTGACGCGGTGGCGGTCCCGGGTCCCTCATGTGCTGGCGTGCAGCACTGCTGAGGTTTCTGGATTATCAAGCGGCATCTCCCACGAACCCCCAACACGCCAGACTCTCTCCCGACTCGCCCGCTCTGTCCGGTGGGGACCAGAGGCAGGAACAGACATGCCCGGGTGCTCTGAGGAACCTGCCTCCGAGGAGGCCGGCCGTACGGAGTCTCAAAGTTCAAGAGGTGCTGGGGAAGGCGACGCCACCTCTGCTAGGCGCCCCGAGTCTCCGCACTGACGCCGAGGGGCAAAGGCCCCTCTGGCGAAAGCACAAGTCTGCTTGGCCTTCCCTAGGAAAGGGAGCCGGGGGAAGGCGCGCTAGGCTCCCCCTGGACACGCAGCGGAGCGCGCAGGGCCCGTCCCCGAGGCCCCGGCCAGGGCCGGCGGAACTGACATGTACGAAGGGTGCCCCAAGCTCGCGCTTCTGCCTCTTTGAAGAGGGCGGTGGGAGCTGCCTTCTCTCCCCTTCCCACCATCCTCGTCTCCTTCTCGGACACAAGAAGAGAAAATGGCTAAGCTCGTCCCCTCATTCTCCTCTGTGACAGTCACAGCCGTTTAAAATGTGGCCTTGTCTCCACTGAGCAGTGGTTTGTCATTTTCGTCGATGGCCCCTATGATTTCAACGGGACGTGAAATTTCTCCGTGTCTTTAGTCAGTAAAAGCTCTCCCTCAAAACCAAAGGAAAAGGAAAAAACAAATTTCTCCCTGCCCCCATTCTCTAGAACTGTGACAGCCCCGCACCCCACTCCCCTTCTTCTAACTAAAATATTTATCTACACACAACAAAAATTGTATAAGGGTAACAAACCGAACTTTGGCTTGGGGTGGAGATCCCTTAAAAATGGCCAGCGGCCCGGGCAGTCTGGTGGCCTCTGTCCCATGCATTCCTCTCCAGCATCAGTTAAGATTGCATCAAGGCCTCTACCTTCCTCGAAGTCTCCCCTCGTTTCAGGGACAGGCTGTCCCCCGGTCACCAGGAGAGGGGGCCTTCTGAAGGGGGGAGAAGATTTGTGCTTTTTACACGACAGGCCAGTCCCTCCCGGACAGATCACTCTGCTTACAAAGGATGCTTGATGCTGCCATGTGTCAGTCATTTTAATTCAGGGACATGAATAGTTATCAGCCAAGAACAAGTGTGGAGGCAGGAGTTAAAAAAAAAACAAAACAAATCAAAACCAAAAAAAACCAAACGGAAAACAAACCCAGCCCAAAGCTGAAGCTCCGTGTCTCTGAATTTCTCCCTTTAGCAGCTATCCCTTGGGTGAGAGGTCACCCTAGTACCAATGTGAACAGACCAGGGAGCCAAACAGAACGTGCTCTTCTATTTCCGAGTGCCTTCATTCTGGAAATGATGCAGGACCCTTGCCTTTACCATTACGAGCTAGAAGAGAAACCCCGCCCCCCCACCTCGCTTATGCATCAAATCGAAGCCGCTGAGCCACAGCAGTGACGCGCCGCCATGGCCATCACGCAACTCTGGCAACACCTAAGGTCCTTGCCGTGTCAGACCCTCCTTCCAGCATGGGGAGGGGGGGGACCTCAGGGGCTCTGGATGTTACGCCCGGTAGTGTTGGTGCACAGGCCAAGTACGCGGGTGCTCAGCTGGGTATCTTTGGAGGATGAGGAGAAGCCGGGGGCAGAAGGGCCACGAGAGCGCAAGCCTGTGGACAGAGAAGTGGCTCACAGAGGCTCCCGGAGCTGGAAATTCCTATGGCTTTGGAGCTGGTACAAAGTGCCTCTGCCTTCCCTTGCGCGCCCCAATCACCGCAAACTTCCAGGGACAGCTGACCCGGGACTCGGTGCTCGATCTTTTGCTAACGGTTTTTGTAGGACTTACACCCTGTCCTGCCCTCCTGACGTCAGAGAAAGAACAGGAACATCAGAGCCCTGCCAGACAGTGGCCGATACCCCCTTTCTCCTCCTTCCTGTCTTCACTGCATCCCGATACTCCGTACTTTAATCTGGTCACTGGCTATTTATTCTCCTGTCCCTGGGTCCTAAATGCTTGGACTCTTGAGGACATGGGAGCAGGGAGTTCATAGAAGGACAGATGAGCTAAGCCGTGGTTCAGAGAAAGGAGAAGAGGCCCGGCAGGAATGCTAGGATCTCAAGAAAGAAAACAATGATCTTTTTCACGCTCCAGAGTTCATTCTGAGATCGGTGTCCTAACGAGGTGTTTATTATCCACAGTCTGAGAGCATGTTTGGAAATATTAACACCATACTTCCAAAAACGATGCCAACTGTCTCAGGCTGTGCAGGTAAGATGATTGTAAAAAGGATGGAGAAGACAGGAGGGAAGAGGAGAGGAAAGTGGCTTCGTAATCCTCCCACTTTGCAATCACAAACTCCTGTCATCTCTCAGCGTGTGGAGCCCGGCCACAGCCGACCAGAAGTGCCTGTCAAAGACCAGGGACTCAGGAGACTAGAGGAATATCCTGTCGCAGAAAGATCTCCACTTCTGCTTGTCCCCGAGCCACTCAGCACCGGATACACTTTGGTAACTGTCTGCTGATTTCTGATCACATGCATTCATCAGCTCCTAAGGTCTCTCCTTCCTCATGAACTGCCTCTTCCGTGATGGACAGAATGAGCTAGCATGGACATACAGACATGGAAATGCATTATTTTTTTTTTTTTTTTACCACAGTTAAAAAAAAAAAAAAAGAAAAAAAAAAGAAAAAAATGCACAATCTTTGGAACAAAAGAATTAAAGGCAGAAATTTAAAGGAAAAATACATATTCAAAGAACATAGTGAGGTATAAAAAAGTATTCTCTCTTTTTTTGTGTTTTTTGTTTGTTTGTTTGTTTGTTTTTCCTCTTCATCTTGCTATAGAGTTCCTCTACTAGTAAATATTGCAATAGCCAGGCCTCATGAACTGGGGGGCTGTCCCATTTGCGGGGTCTCACGTCACTTCAGTAGGGGGCAAATCGGCTGTAGCCACCTCGGTATAAACTCGCCTGCAGTAATTAAAGACATAAAAACAATGGAAAGGTTGATGAGAGAAACATTAAAGATGAAGACAAGGGTCCTGAAAAGGGATTTGGGAAATCTGCTTCTTGAGAAGCTTCAAGGCAACTGGTGCGACGTGACCTTGTGCAGTGACCTCAGGAAACCAGCTTCTGCCTCTAGGGGGCTCAAACCGGAGCCCAAGACCCTCGCTGCTGACCCGATGTTCCCGAGAAGGAATCTGATGACACTGCACTTCATTATTTACGTGAATGAGCGCCGAAGGGAAACTCAGTAGAGTTTAAAACCAGGTCTGTAAATAATTTGATGTTTAAAATTTAGGACAAGTTTCTGTTTTACCTCGAGGACATTATCACAGCCATGACATAACGCACGTAGCTGATTTCGCCTTCTTGTACATTCCCCGTCCGCAGGGACCAGGGGCTCTGATCCCTGTCATATACACGTTCAAGATGGTGCTGGATTTAAACCAGAGTCAGTCTTTTAACTACTGAAGTCTAGTTCCTCTCTAACCTATAAAACGAGCCAACTAGGTGTTTCCTGACATACCTGAATTTATTTCTATTTCTCTGTCTATCTGGGGTTGTAACCTGGCTTTATTCCTTTCTTTTATCTTTATCTGATGGCCTATCTCTTTCCATTCAAAGTTTCCAAAGAACATCTCTCTCCTGGGGTCACTCTTCCGGGATGGGGCCTGTATCTTTTTGGCACCTAAAATGATGCCACTGTCTCTACCTCATTCCACACCTAAAGTCCCTCACGACCCTGTGACTTCCTCCCACAATCTATCAGTAGAAATTCAGTGTGAGAAATGACGGGCTCTCTCGTATTCGCCCAAGTCTTGAATTTCATGTATCACTCTGCCTCCCCATCACACACCTTCGAGGGTCCATGACGCCCAGGCAGCCTGTTAGGGGGTGTCGCTGTGACATGGCCTGTCCCTGCTGCGGCCGGTGAGTCACAGCCACCGGGCCTGGAGGTACCTGGGCCACCACTAAAATACCGCAGTGAGGGTTCGAGTCTAGCTGGGGGGAGGAATATTCTAGATGGGGTCTATGGGTCTTTTCTGCACTTCTGGGAAAACAGAGCATTTTGTCACAAATGTTACGGATAAAAAATATTTTTGTAGGGGGCATTCACTTGGAGCTTTCTGCCAGAAGGCTCAGAAACAGCAGGGACATCCTTTGACATCCTTCTGCATTGGTAAGAAACGCACAGTTTTTGGAAAGCTCACGGCGCCAGCCCCAGGGTCTCTTCGGACATCTCTGCTGAGACCTGGCAGTTAAACAAAGCCACAGGCATGCAGCCAACACCTGAGCCAACATAAACCATCGATCGGTTCCCTTCTTTCTCTCCCAAGTGACGCCATCACCCAGGGCAGATGGTCACTACTCAGTCCTTCCTGCTGCCCGTAACCAGGGCAAGGGGCTCACACTACGACACATAGATCAAGAAGGGGATATGAAATTTCCAGATAGCCTTCTGTGGCTTCAACACTTTGGCAATCGAAGACGGGCTGAACTGATTACCTCTCTAGAGCTTCTGACAGCTCAGGTAAAAGTTAAAAGGAGCAAAGTGGTTAAAAAGAGAAGGTATGCATAATACTCACCACAGCGCCAACTCCATAGCTAGCGGCAGGGGCCAGGGCATGGTAGGGGTCGGCTGTGTACACCCTGCCGTAACTGGAGAGAAGACAGACAATCAGGGAGAGCAAGAAAAGGCCATGACCTAAAAGAATTAGAGCGCTTCCTGTGCTAAAGACCAGCGAGTAACTCGGTCTTGGGATGTCATTAGGGAACGGGCAGAAAGGACGCCTGTCCATTTCTACTCCCAAATGCAGTAACTCTGAAAAGAAGTTTAACTTCTATCAAATGGAAAAGAAAGGAGGTGGGGATGGGAGAGAGGGAGGCTGTAGTCAAAGGCAAAGACAGATGAGAGTGAGCAGGAGGGGGCGGAGCACAGGGCACGAGGCAGTCCTCGGGCATCCTGCGCCCAGGGTGGCCCGAGTGGCATTACGGAAACGGTGAGGAGGAAGGCGGTGCGGCACCTGGGCGGCCCAGGGCTCTCGGCCCCCCAGGTCCCCCTCCCGCTTACCCGTCGCTATAAGCTGCAGCGGCGGCGGCGGCAGCTGTGGCCGCGGTCGCGGTAGCGGGCTGTGCATATCTGTAGGCTGCGTATCCACCCTACAGGAGAGAAGAGAACTGACTTTACAGATACCTCTCCCCCGACGGACGGACCAACACACACCCACCCACACGCAGACGTACACGCACAATGACACAGGGACAGACGCAAACACGGACACACACGTGGGAGGAGAATGTTTCAAACTGCATCAGTCTGCATGTTATCATTCCCCTGGCACGAAAGTAAGCTCCACCCAACGCAGGGATCTGCTTTCCAATTTGGGACAGGAACGAGTGAACTAGGTCAGCAGGACCTGTTCTCCGATTTAAGCAACGAAGACAGGATCTCAGATCTGTCTGTCTTACTTCATGGTCTTTGCCGGACCTTCCAACACGGCAAATATTTGTAGGAAGTTGGGAGTACGCTATCTGACTGGTGGGAATGTAAATTTCTACGTGTTAACTTCAGACTGACTGACTGCTAAGAGATGATAGGATGTCACAGAAAGGTCCTCTCTGGTGCTATGCTCCATCAGGACTAGACTGTCAAGAGGCTAAGATAACCAGCAACGCTTAGTAGGAAAAACCAGTGTAGATCAGGGGTTGGCAAACTTCAGGCTGTGAGCCGCTGCAGCCTGCCACCTGTTCCTGAAAGCAGGGGTGAAGGGACCATCCGGCCTCCAAAGCCAAAAATATTTGCCACTTGGCCCTTCACAGAAAAGGTCTGCCGGCCCTGAGCTGCATTTAGGACTCGGGCAAATGAGATGACAAATGGCTGAGGGGCCTGCCGTTCAACGAGATCAGGCAGCCTTCCCCCCACGGCCCAAGCATTTACCTGCCATTTATTTTCCTCTCCTAGAAGATTCGGAGAGCCTCACACCCCGTCTCACAGCCGCTCTGAAGCCCTTCTTCCGATGGCTCCAACTATCCGCTCGGTCCTAGAGACTTTCAAACTCTTGCATCCTGTTACTTCCTTTCAGTTTAGGGGAACCACATACTCCAAAGGGGACCCTATGTACTCCCGGGAAGTATTTCACAGATAATCACAGCAACAGGTGCTATTTAAAAAGTGGCAAGCCCTACTCTTTCCTCTTCTGGGATCCATCTATTTCCCCTGCACCTAATTCAGGTGTAAATTCTTAGGACTATTTCCGCCTCTCAAACTATGTCCAGTGGCACGCTTTCGCTACGTGAACACACTGCATTACGGAGGAATTTTTACACTTGACGTCGTCAGCAGTGGCTTCGAACGTCTCTCTCTAGCTGGATTACAGTGGTTATGTGTTGTTTCTCTTTGTTCAAGTGAAATCACTCAGAAAAGTAAACGTTTCTTTCTCTGTTACAAATTCTTCCACAGATATTCGGAGAACTAAGAAGATGCTAATTAATATTACCAAACACTGGAAATGACATGGTAATGGGCAGAAACAAGACAGAAGGCACCCTCGAGGGGCTACCTGTGATCAACATGTTCGCTCTGAAATCCAGCCAGGTCTGTGGGAACAGGGAGGCCAGACTGATTGGGGCAAAACTGTACATCCGGGCTGTAACGTACACACCACTGTAGCTGTAACTACAGTTAGATCTACGTATACTTAACCCATGCTATAGATAAAGTGTCTCTTTACCTGACTGTATCTATGGCTGGCTGGCTAGGTCTTTTTTTTTTTTTTTTAAACTTCTAGAGAGCGGTAACCAAACTTCTAAAGAGCTTTGTTAGCCAAAGCCAACAAGCTAACCATTATAGTTGAAATTTCAAGCTTTAAATGAACCTTAAAGGCTCAGTTTTTCATTATAGCCACAGACGGTTCCATTGGTTTAGAATTAAACTTTGCTAGAGCGAGGTCTACACCAGGGCCGTCTTCAGTGAAACTTCTGTGAGCCAGGAGAGGGTGGTAAACAGGCATCAGGTAGTTTGTGTCTTTTGTATTCTTTCAGACACCGAAATAATCTTTAAAAATTTAAAAAGTCAAGGTGATAAAAGCAGTGAAAGCCCAATTTGTGTTCACCCAAGTAAAACATTGAAAAATGGAAGTTCTGTACCACAGGGCAGAATGTACATTCCCATTGAGGGATTCCGAGGCTCAGTACTGAGCTGACTCTGAAAGTCTCTGTAAAGTCGGAGACACAGGAGAGTCCACCAGATCATCGCTCTGAGCGGGGGCGCACTAATTCTGGAGAAAGAGGTTCTGAATGAAGTTACTGAGAGAACCACTTCCCCTCCTGTTCCTCAGCCTGCAAGAAGCCCTCAGAGCCTCACTGGTCCTGGCGGTAATGTTAGATCAGACCATGGGAAAGAAGATTCCTTCCAAACCAGAAGGAAATGGAGAGAATCTATCTGCAGTGATTTCCTTCTATTGTAACTCAACTGGGACTTTGGAGTTTGAATGATGAGGTTCTTTGCTATTTACATTCAGGAAAACAGGGCGGGAGTACAAATGTTTTATTGACAAGAAAATGCTTGAGAAGAATATCAGTATTAAGAAAAACTACATTAGTGGTTTGTTTTTTAAGTTGATAATATTTCAACACGACTACTCTCCTAATTACTTTATAATGGTGTTGCAGAGAGGCCCTTTAAAGGGGGGAGCTATGTTTAGGATGGGAAGGTATAAGCTAATTTGGTAATTCATCAGTGACTACCCCAAAATTAGGAAACTTAAATGGCATTATCATGGATTTACTTCTCTTGGATGTAGTCATACTCCAAAGCATTTCCGCTGCTGCTTTGAACAAAATATATCAACAACTGGAAGACAAAGAAAATTCGGATGTTATCTATTTCTACTCCAATTTTGGAGCGCATAAAGTGTCCGCGCTGAGAATTCGTTTTCTCGATTTTCGCTTCTACCAGCAAGTCTGTGGTCTTTTGTAGAACATGAGACCAAAGTGCAGTTTGAAACACTGAGGTTTTCAGTACGGTTTCTTAAGTTTTTCAGAAAGAACGAGGGCGGGGAAGGGGGGGGTAGGAGACAGGGTTCAGGCGTGGGCGGGGGGCAGGGGGAGGGATATGGCGCCACATTTATTAATCACATTAAAAACTAAGCATGCCAACATCTGGAGCTAAAACAACCAGCAAAATCACCACGTTCAGACTCGTATTGGCTAACTCTATCTATCCCAGCATTCTCTTGGGACAGCGGTTTGCCCTACGCTCTACCACAAGCTCGGTGAAGTACACAGCCTCAATTACTAGAGCGTGCAGCCACAACAACCTGCTATTACGGAAACAGTCAGTCACCACTTGAGTTAACATTCCAGACCCTAACGACGGGCCCACCCCAGCCCAAAGAAATAGTCAAGGTCGCCCGCCCTAGCCCTGGCCCACACCACGATGTTAATAATTATAACAAGCAGTAACCCATCTGTTATGTCAGAGAAGGGAACAGAGACTCCACTGAGAGGTTTAGAGTGGGGATGCTAACATGTCTTCAGCTGACTGCACAAACAAACAAACCGAAAAAGGGGGGAAAAAAAAGAGGAGAAATAATTCATTTGGAGATATGAAGTCATGAAATAGCTGATGTGTATTGCTTTTAACCATGCACTGATGCAAAACTGAAGCAACCATTAATAAAAATTAAAAAGGACATATGTATTTACACACAATCAGACCTGTTGGATCTGAAGCAGTTTGCAGACTCTATCTGTGTGTGATTTGAAATAAAACAAAAAATGGGGATTAGCATGGCCACAGCACACCCTAATGTAGGAGGGTACCCAGGGACTGCTTCTGTGAACCCTGAGAGCTGGATACATTCAGCATGGCTGAGCCTGATCCAAATATACTCATGCCCCGTTTCAAGAGTCACTTTCTTATTCCTCTATAGTTCATTACGAAGGACTCTGGAGTGTTCCCAATGGGGGTGGCCCGACGCTAGCTACATTGTTCCCCTATTCACCTTTCCTGACCCTGACCGCATGGTCCAGTCCTGACCCGCAGCACCTGCCGGCCCTCGGTCACCACCCATCCGCTCTGACCCGGTGTTCTTCTGCCAGAGCACCTGCGCTGGAACGTTCTAGCTTTCCACATGTCCGTGAGACATCCCTGCCTTCGACTTCCAGCTCTTTCCCGGGACAATGCGGTTACCTTTAAGATCCTTCTGATGCTCATGTCTCAGCTCACCAGGGTTCACCATCACCTGCTAGGGATTCTCTACTCCACTCTGAATCGGTTTTAGCATTTAAGTAACTTTATAATGTTGCCCACTGGCCCCAGGCCTCTCCAGCACAGTTCTGTTCTAACCAGGACAAAATGGAAGGGCTCTGCGTACCCTCCCTCCTGTATCTGCGTTATCTGTTAGAGGAGGATCTCACACTGGCAGACGTTCCCCTTGCCTTGGTTTTAACCTAGCCATTAATTTTATTATACTTTTGTTTTAGATTTACGTGAAAACAGGACTCTGGTGAGCATGTGATGTCAAGACACCTTCTTTCTACCAGGAGGATGGTGACGTTTATGTGACACTGAGGAGAAGAGTGTGTGAGGGCTGTGGTCCTTGCATGCGGTGCACAGATTTACTGGGTGAGGGGAAAGGCGGGCCTGGTGCTGAAAATCACTACAGGGAGCAGGGACCTATCAAACGAGCTTGGGTGGACCCGCTGTGCCTCTGGGGATTGCTTCCTGTGTCTCTTACATGATTCTGACCCCTCCGCACTCCAGCCAGAGACACTGTGTAGCTGGGCCCTGCGGGGGGGGGGGGGGAAGGAGGGGGCAGGAGGCGTGTCTTCTGCGCCCCAGACAATACTGCACCTCTGACCGAGTGTAGCATAGACATAAGTGCTAAACACTTACAATAATGGTAATCCTGTTGTTGTTTTTGATGGAGACCTAGATCTACTTTGGAAAGTAGATACGAAAAGGTTTTAATGACAGGTACTTAAATTTTATCATTACTTAAAACTGGGGTTAAGGCAAGAAATGGCTGTGGTCAGCTTCTTATCTTCCACGTTATCACTTCAACGGCAGATGAGAGATGATCTTTAACGAATCAAACCTCTCAAGCCCTCCGCCCTTTCACACCTCCCCAAGTTCATGTCCCAAATCCTGTCGGGAGGCCACATGAGGAGACCAAGGGATTCCTGATGGGTGGCCTGCGGTTCTCTTTCCCCGACATCCAGCTATCAGCAGACCTAATGGTGAATGATTATCCAAATGAACTCACTGACCTTGTTTCAAGGTGAAAGGGAGGAGGGCAAGGGGGCTACATGTGTCAGTTTTACAGCCCCAACAGGTCTGGATGTTTAGGCAACATGGAAATGAGGCTAACAGCACAGTCCCGTTACTCCTGCGGTCTCACCCCGGGGCCCAATCTGGGACTCCGGAGTCCTGGGTGGGCAGACTTCCTCCTCCCTTTCCTCACATCCTTCGCAGTGGAACCTGGCCCCCGCTGCTACGATCTCCAAGTATAAAAGACCAGCTTAAACACCATGGATACATGTGACTGACGAACTAAAAGAGGCGGCAGTGATGGGTGAGTGCAGAGCCCGTGCCTGGTGTGGACAGCGGTGGTGGGACGGGGGCACCGAATTTTGGAGGCGGTGCCGGCACATCTGGGACTTGACTGTGCGCTGCTGGGGTAGCAGGGCTTAGATCACACGCTCACAAGTCTTGGTTGTCCAAAAAAGCCTCTGTTCCCATCTCTAACGTGGAGCTGGAATGGTTAGTATAATTCAATTTTTTCACTGCAATCCACAATCTGATTGGTCGGCAGGTCACACTGGCACTCCTACCTGAGGTATTTTAGCGCTAATGATTGGTTCCTGTAAGACTATTCTATAACAGAACACAGGAAGAGCAGTTCAAAAAACACAGCTGTGGAAGGAAAACAATCATACAAAAAAGCCCGCCAAGGGGCCCACCAGCCTTTTCTTTCCTTTGGATGCAAGCATGCTTTTCACAGGCTAAGAATCAGGAGCCGTTTTGTGAGCCCTTTAAAACGTGAATTCGGGGTGAGCTATGCCTTTTCTACTGGTCGAGGGAAAGAGGGGTGGGGAGGACACCTGATCTGTCGGCTAAGCTCAGCCCTTCCCGTGCTTTCCACGAACTGCGGCCACAGTCGCTAGATCGTTCTCTGGCCAGGAGTGTGCCACAAAAGAAACAGAAGGGAAGCAAATGGCTAGCAGGGATCACGGACCAACAACAGAACAGGGAGAGAGGTAAAAAGGAAAAAAAAAATCTCCACCACGAACAGCCTCAACTAGTATAACGTAAAACAAAGCCAGCAGCTTACGTTCTTTCCTCCTGATGTTTCTACAAGCTCTGGCTCAGTGCACGTATCATACTGGACCAAGTCTCAGTCTTCCTGTCGCTAATGTGTATCTCTGAGGAAACAACAACTCAGTGCATAGGGACAGATTTCCACAGCGGGGGGAGTGTGTAGAGAGGAGCAGAAAAATACAAGGTAAAACATGGGTGTGTGTGTGTGTGTGTGTGATTTAGAAAAAGCATCCCTTGCTCCCTCACATGTGGAAGAGGGAATCTAACGTTTTCAAAGTGATAGTTGTATCAGACTTCATTCAACAGTTACCTCCTAACAAATTCTTGCTTTTCGTTAGTGGGGTCGGATAACTAGTGACCACCTCTTCCCTCCAAGTGACTGCTTTAAGATAGGAGCGAAGAAATGACAGTAACATTATGATTAATCCTTTTTGTTAACAAGGCGCCACTGGTCAAACAAGTAGTTCAGCGAGGTCACTGAATTGCTTGTTTAGTTTCATAAGGTGACTTGGTTAGTAGATTTAAAAAAAAAATGTCAAGGGTATTTTCTAAACAAAAGTGCAGAAAAGTCATCTCTCTCTTAATAAAATCATATATTGTGACCTAAGGATACGAGAGAACTATAAACAAATATTTGGTTGGTTCACTGAAACAAGATGGAAGTAGGCAATCTTACTAAGGTAGAAATAAGCCATACTTTAAAAACCCCCAAATAAAAGATATTAGAGGGAAAAAAAACCCACTTTGACTTAAGAAAAGAATTCCAGTGGAAAAGTGTGCTCTAACAGACCAGATTTCAGGAAAACAATTTAAATAACATAAAGATGAGTTTCATGAGAACATGGATACTAATGCATATGGGAAAATGTATGTGCTAAGATCGTATGTAAATATGTCTATTTAGAAAAGTGTCATCTGGTATAAAAGTAGGAATATTTCCCCAACCCTCATTTTACTGTGAGCACAGGAAAAGAGGGATCTTTCATTACTTCTTGAAAACCAGCTGAGGAAAGACGTGGATTTTAATTAAAGCACAGATTACGAAATATGAATCAGTTTGGTGCTTGGTGATAGAAATAATTGATGTAATCTGGGCAAGTCACACTCTTTAAGTAATAGACCTATGAAGTGAGAGGGCTGGACCAAACCATGGCCGAGATCCCTTTCGGTCTGTTACACTGAGGCAAACTTTGAAGGTCTGCTCTGCACAGGACAGGTGTGTCCAGTCACCTCCTTACTTCCCTGCAACACACGGAGCCCCGAAGTACATTCTGAAAAGTGCACCGAAGTCTTCTGATTGCCAGAGAGTCTCTAGCAGAAATCTGTGGCAAACAGTTCACTGGGAAGGTACCTTTATTGATTTGGGGACGTAAGGGTGGCATTTCCAGACAATTTTAACCTATGCCCAAGGAATAATTTCACACTGACAAGTTTTTCTTAACAAATGGTGTCTTAATGATTTGGGTGGTTAGACTGGGCTTGCATTCAGAAACAGATTGTTTGGAGAGGTCCTAATAAAAAACTTCAAAACTCCAAAGTTTTTGACTCTTTGTCCGTTAGTTCACTTTGTCCAAGTTTTATATGTGACAGACCAATCATGGAACTTTCGCTGTAACAAGACAGTTTCCATAACGGATAATAATAATGATGACGTTAACATTGCTGGTAGAATCAACAGATCCTGTAGGATGGTAAAATGTTTGTAAGAAGAGTCTAGGTTGCCAATTATGCCACTCATTTCCCTCTAGATGGCTCTTAAGAAAAGAGACCCACCAGCTGTGGACCTTTCGACGGAGAGAGACGCTGTGAGTACTGAGTGTTTGGTTTCCTCTCATTACCACCCGCTTTTCACTGGCATTAGCTCCTTACCTCCCTCTCACGGGATAGATAAGGCTCTCTCAAAATAGGAAAATAGGAAAACACACAGTTCTGAAAGCTTACGGCCGGCTACGTAAATCAAAGCTCCAATGATCTAAAGAGGGATGTGGAATGAGAAGAAAAGCGGAAAAGAGAGAGAGTCGGTTTCAGCTAATATAACTAGCCTGTTATTTATGTATGCACATGACACGACAGTATTAAGAGACTTTAAACCTGCTGATCATCTCGCAAATCAATCACAGAACATCTGTGGGTATAGGGAAGGGAAAAGAATATGTCCAGTAGACTGACCCTGGCAATGATCAGGAAACCCAAAGGCTTAGTTTTTGCACCCAGGGGCAAGCGCAGTGGCAGAGAAGCATGCTTGCATTCTTAAATATATAAATATATATATATATATATCCACAAGGAAAAAGAAAATAAAAATCAAATAAATTATATGTAAAAAACCAAAAAAAAATCAAAACAAAACAACAGAAAAAAAAAACAAACCAAACCAAACCAAACCAAAGAAACAGAAAAAAAAAGGCTGGCTTGTCAGGGAATGGGGTCGAGAAGGCCCCGGCGTGTGTACTTACATAGAGGTCAGCACCGTAAAATCCGTCCTGGTAAACCACACTGCAGAAAATCCACACAAAAACAAAAACAAAAAAACAAAAGAACAGAAACACATTCCGGTTATTGAGGACGGCAGCATGCACATGCGCTCTACACAGGCAGGTGATGTATGAATACGTGACCGGGGTGGGGGGTCGGGGGCCGGGGGGTGGGAGAGGGGTGCAGAGAGTCCGTGAGAGGCACGTGCACGGGCACACGCACGCCGTGCAGCTCCAGGACATGCGAGGCAGGAGGGGAGCACGCCACTCGAATGCACACCTGAATGCTTGGTAATTCAAGGATTAAAATGATAAAAAGCATTCCCAGAGGGCCTGGCAAAACTATGGGGACTACGCTGGATTAGAGGACTACGCTGGATTAGAAACATCAACTTTTCATAACTGGAGTATTTTTTTTTTTTTTAAAGCTTGCCCTTGGAGGAAGTTTTCTTTAAAGAGTTTCAAAATGATTGGGTTTGTCTGTGTGTGTGTGTTGGGGAGGGCAGGGAGAGACAGGGAGAAAGGGGGTCTAATGTGAAAAAACTGAACCCAAAGAATCCCACTGGGGGGGGGGGGCTGTACACAGAGAACGTTCCAAAATGGTGTTTAACGTTTTGTTTTCAGTTTCCTAGAAGTATGTACGTTTTTCCTGATATCCATACATCACCTGCTTTTTACCCTGCACATTAGACATGCAGTAAGATTTGGCTGATCACACGAGCATGCAAAGTATTATTATTCAGCATTTTAAGAACCAATGCAACACCTCAGAAAAACAAGTCAATCAATTCTGACCAAAGTAAACAGAGAAATGTAATTAAAAAAAAAACACAACCAAAAATACCCACAATGCATTGCTTTCACAAGCAGAGATAATGAGCTAAAGGTTAAGGTGATTGGTCCAAGGTCCGAGAATTGAAAGGTGCAGTGGGGATCCCAGATAGTAACAATATAATCCAGAGCGGGAAGGAGTAACTGCAAGATTTTAAGGGCTCTTTTTTGACCATAAGAATATTCATGGAACTCTGCAAAATTTAATTGATAACTGACGTTCTGGGCATGACCAAGGATCATCCTGTTTTACTTAAAAGGATAAAATGGAGAATAGTAGCTGATTATATAAATATAAAAACTCAGGAAATTAATTTTTATCAAACAAAATACATGAATTTTTTTTTTAAGTCCTGGGCAACACTAAACTATTATAATCATAGATTTCAAACCTTTTGAGGTATTTTTGTGCATACAGACTTTCCCCAAGACATTACTTTGGGACTGAAAGACATGGAACGGAAGTAGAGACAAAAGATAAGACTTTCTTCTTCACATGTGTTAAATCAAGATTCGGATATTTTAAATGAGAAGATCTGTTTATTGTTAATTCAAGTAAGCATAACTTGGAAATTTTCACCACTACCTTCTCTGTTGTAATAAACTAGTCAGTAGGTCTTTCAATCATAGTTTTAACTTGAATATGAAATAATATATATATATTTTTTGCAGGTGGCTGGAAAGTTTCTGAATTCTACTCATTATGATGACATTTTGTTGGGTTGACAGAGCAGTATGGTCACACTCTGCAATGCCCCAAACATGCTGGGCCTTCATATTACAAAACAGGCAAATTAAATTCCTCTGTGATGCTCATTTAGCTAAGTCCTATCCGGTTTCATTGTCTCCAACTGGAGTTAAAGTTATATATTAGAAAATAATGTGCCTCTCACCTGCATTTTACTAAAAAAGGACACTTGCTCATAACGAGAAGGCTGACTGAAGGGAAAGCACTGAGGCCAAGTGGTGATTAATTAACCTTCAACTGTTTCAGGAGAGGATACTGGCAAAGATTACAAACATCTCTTTGATATGGAACAGTGGTGGCATTAAAAGCAGTAATAAAGTTTACCCTAAGTTACGTCCTTCACTGGGAATATTTACCTAAATTCTAGAAGAATTCTAATATTCCCTGTATCCAATGCCACAAGGAGGCTAGAACACAATGATTAAGGATGAAAATTAGTTTACTAAGCTGAAAAGCAATTTTAGGCCATTCCCCATAAAATACTGGACTTATTCCTTGCCATCTTCCATGTAAACCGGTGGTTTAGTTAATAAAAAAGAAAACATGGGAAATCAGTGTTCAATGTAATGCACGGAGACTGGTATGATTAGACATAAAGATAAAGTATCTTTGAGCAAACGTCATCCTGACACAGACTTGGCAGAGAGTGGGTTCTCAGGTTTGGCCAATATAGTGAAATGAGCTACAGAGACTAGAACGAATCCAACCGTTTGATAAAGTAAACTCGGGAACGGTACAAAATAAAGAAGTCCCATGTTTCTGGCGGGTGGTATCTCTGTCAACTCTCTTGGACTGAAACGGAAGACGCTTCGTGACCAATTTTCCTGGCGGGCAGGACTTCCAAAAGGTCTGTTTTTAGGTTTTACTTGGGTAGTTCCTGATGAGGTAATGCTGCATCTTTATTCACGTCTTTAAAGAGATGTCAGAGGTTGAAGGTCAAAGGTCAAGTTGAGAGAAGAAAGAATAAAATTAAAAGCAAGTGATGGCAGAGGATGGAGATGATGGAATGCATGGGATTTAAACATCTACAGACTGCAAACAAAATTTTACTTCTAAAGCAGTTCCCTTCCAGCGCCTCCTGGAGCCTGTCCGTTCCAACATGCACACGTGTCTAATAAAAATGCTTTAAATCTGTGCACTGGAGGACCCCTAATGGCGTGTCCATTTGGTCTGTGAGCGAATGCTGAGTTAGCAGACCTCCAAGCCCATTGTGCCGTCAGAAAAGGACCTACAGAGGAGGCTCTTTCCCTCCGTGTTTTAACTAAGTAGCAATGAATAGGGCTCCTCTGCGGCTAGGTTTACTCCTCGGAGAGAATATGGAAAAAAACCTGTCAGAGGCAGAGAAAAGATGAAGAACACAAATGTCACATCTTTGAAGAAAGAAAAGTCCTTGGTACAACTAACTTCGAGAAGTCCACTCCTTATAAAAATAGACATTTGCGGCTGACACCGAGAAACACCTGGAGACGAAGGCTGCCATCGTCTCTCCTTCTCCCCCATTCGATAGCCAAGGATTTAGTTGTTGCTATGGAATCATTCCACTGCATGAGACACCCTCCAGACAAAAATCCAAGGGTGAGGGGCGCTCAGCTACATCAGCTGTTTTACCATCATTAGAAGCCAACTGGAGTTTAATTCTTCCTACTTCTCCCTTTCTCCCTGGATTCAATTGGACTTGGTGCATCTTTGAATTAACCTCTTTTAATCCGTCTCCTACAAAGAAAGCAAATCCATTGTGGGTAACTAGTTCTGCTGTTCACCACCCAGGCAGTGAAACCAAAAGGGAGGGCGATGTGGTAGCCTTGGCCCCCACGCAGGGTGGTGATGAGGGGGTGCACGCAGCAGGTGCGGTCTCGTGCTACGATCTGGAGCTCCTATTTTGGTTCTCTGCAGGAGTGTTAATCCACATTCGTGCGATGCTGAGTGAACTCCATGCCAACACACTGCTAGTAAACACAAGACAGTTCTGGCTGCTGTCTTAAGCCGGGAGGGCTTAAGGTGGCCAAAATGAAGATTTATATATAATGGATCGGTATTTGGTTACATTCTGACGATGGTACATTTTGGCTCTTGCCATCTAATCCATTAATTTGCAAATAGTCATAGAATCTCTACAACGTGGCACGGCAACGTCCCAGAAGGTGTGAGAGGGCCACGGTATTCTTTTCTGTCCAGTTGCTTATTTTGGAGTCTAATGCTTACCCTGGATAGGCGGGAATGGCTGTTGGAGGTACCGCTCGGACTGCCCCATATACCGTCCGCCCTCTGCCCCTCAGATGGGCTCCTCTGAACGCGGCCGCCGTGGTGGCTGCAGTCGGGTAAGGGAAGCCAGGAACTAAAGGGAGACCCAAAATATGACAGGAGCGTCAACTTGCATTCAACAGCAGGGGTACAATCACAACTGCCTTTGAACCGATTGCAGCAAAGTTTAAAAGACATGTTCCAGATCTTTCTGGAGAGAGAAATGGAGAGACCCAACATGCCAAAGCTAATGAATCCATGCTCTCTCTGTTCATCACCAATCCTGAGCGAGTGTACTCTGCTCCCTCCCGGCCCTGGCATTACATTGTAAGCTGGTGAGAAACAGGCGGAGAAGCTCCAAGAACCAGTGCCGTAATGAGAGACGAGACTTTTCACTCTGGGGGGCAGTTTAAATCGACTGATATAAAATCTTTAACTGGCCCATTGCTTGTCTTGTTTCCACACGTTATTACGTACATATGGTAATTCTTCCTGTAAGAGCAGTCTTTTGTGTTTGTAGTGGCGCCAACCTTCGGGGCACACAATAATCTTTAGACATTTCACCAGCCCACTTTATTCTTTAATCTAAAATGTTTTAATCCAGAAATATCAGGGGAGAAGGGAAACTGCCTGTAACCTTCAGGGAGGCAGACAGTTCCTAAAGGCCTATTTTAAATGTGCTGTCCTCCCGAAAGCACACACGGACACCTATTCCATGTTCACGGAACTCTTGCTCATCTCACCGTTTGCCAGAGGAAAATGGCTCAGGTCCAAAGGACTTCAGAGGTTTCAACCAAACTGAGAATAATCAGTAATAGTGGATGTGCTCCTAAGCAACGTTCTATCAGAGGGCCCAAAGCTGCCTCGCAGAGAACACGTATAACAAATTCCACAAATACCTATGTTTTCTTTTCTCTACTATCAAGTGCAGACTAAACTGTTCTTCACATGTCCTTACCCCCCCCTACCTTTCCCGAGTATTTATGTTCCAGGGCAATCTTAATATCTGGTCAGAAAGATTCCAACACAGGTGAAGCAAGGCTGGGGCGCTGTGATGGCACTGAACTCTCAAGAATGCCTGCCTCCTTTCCAGTTATATATTATACTTGCGTGGGTGATGGGGGGAAGACTAGCACACATCGCTCTTTACTCACAACAGTCAAAATCCACGCCAGGCCAACATAGGCTACTTACTGATTAAAGGAATGTAAGTGTTAATACCCCCTCTTCCTGATAGGGGCACTGCTGCGTCATTGCCTAAGGACACGTCTGCTTGAAAGCTGGATGCTGAGTGCATTGAAAAAAAATTAAGAAAGGCAAAAAGGTTACAAGGGAATAGTAAGTCGAAAAGCAACATGTGATTTTACAGTAAAATAGCACGAATGAAAAAAATCAACATAGTACTACCTGCATATAACTCAGGGCCATATACAGCTCCAACTACGGGGCTTAATTTCCAACCTGAAATGGAAAGAGGGGAGTGAGCATTGAAGACTATGTGAGGAACACAGTGAAACGGACTGATCGGTGCATGTGGAAGCGGGCTTCAGACACCGCTGCATTTACTTTTACCTGTTACTGTCTTCTCTGGAGAATGCCAGCTGGGGGGTTAAGTGAGAAGGTCAGGACACTTCCATACTGCGGTATTTTTCTGGGTAAAGTTTATTTATTTTGAGAAAGACAGCGTGAGTGGGGGGAGGGGCAGAAAGAGGGAGAGTGAGAATCCCAAGTAGGCTCCGTGCTGTTCAGCACAGAGCCTGATAGGGGGCTTGAACTCACAAAACCACGAGATCATGACCTGAGCCGAAACCAAGAGTCAGATGCCCAAATGAAAGAGCCACCCAGGCGCCCCCATACCTGAGTATATTTAAGGAGGACCAGCACATGAAGGAATAATGAGGGGCTGGGGTGGGAAGGTGTAGGGACAAAGTGCGGGGAAAGGAAAATTGGGAGGGAAGTTGAAAGATGGAGAGAGAGTGAGAGAAGGAAAAACAAAAGTAAATTCTGAGGTCTGATACAGTCTCTCTCACAGAACTGCCACTCTACTCTGTAATTCAAATTTGAATTCACATTTGAGCTGATCTTTGACTCCCTGTTCAATTTTACCACATTGATGGAAATCTGGGTAAGCTGAAATTCCATTTCTTTGGGATTACCTATTAAGATTCCGTTGCAGTTAACCTCAGCCAGTCAACAAGAAGAGGCATACAGTAATAAAATTCAAGGTACATCCCCAACTTCATGCATCTCTTGGGATTTTCATTTGTAATAAACACACTTAAGTTAATCAGTTGTTTTAACAAATGGATCCTAGATGGCTGCTGAACATTAGCTTAAACAATTATAAACTTGAAGTATTCCCAGACATTAGGTTTGATGTCAATTTTATTTCTTCATTCCCCTTTTTTATATTATAGAAATGTAGCTGGTGTTAAAAAAGAAAACAGTATTGCTGCCCACTGATAGTTAAAGAGTACATAGAATCCCATATGAAAACTTTAATCAATGGACATTTATTGATTTTTACACATAAATAAGCAAACATGCGCCACTATTTTTCTGAAAGACGAGAGGCAGTACTTAGGAGAAAACCCATTCATTCTGAACTGATCCAATCTATTATTTTACGTGCTCATAGTTTGGTGAGGTCTCTTCATTATTCTACATAAAAACTGGGCAAATATCTGGGTTCAAATCCTACTGGTGTTGTAAGAACACAAATGCTCTCCAATGTGAGACAAATCAAGTGATTCAAACGGATATAAACTACACCGCTGGCTGAGAACTCACCAGAAGGCATGGAGCACTCTTATCAGAGGCTCTAACCACAAGCAGCTGCAGGGCTCTAAAGCTTGGCTCCGTTAGGCGTGAATATTAATTTAGAATAATGTTCAAAAAATGACTCTTCTTCTTTCCTACCAATGACACTATTACTTAAGCACTCCGGTACGTAACAGTACACATCTTAACAATGGTATATAATGGCATGCTGTCAATAATACTTTGGATATGCTTTAGTTCAGAACAATCTGCAAGGTGGTTTTGACCTTCAGAAAACCCAAAGGGAGAGGGAAGACAGGTGCAACATCTGGGACGCCAGTAAGTACTGTACTTCTCTGGGCTTAATTTCCTAAGTAATAAACTAAGAAGGTTGGGTTAGATGACTTCTACAGAGCCTTCAGCTGCTTCGATTCTGTGACTGCCAATGAATAGTGATGAAAACACAATCAGCTTAAAAAAAAATTGGCCCATGGACATAGAGTAAAACGAAGAGTCAAACCAGAAGTAGAATTTCTATCTTCTGAATTCCAGTTAGTAACTCTTTCTACCACACCATTTTCCCTGAATGTAAAGAAAATCTGACATACTTTGCCTGTCCTTCCTCATTTGCTGACACTGGGTTATTATCAAAATTGCAGAAATTTCTGTTTTTGTGATGGCAGTGAAAAAATATCAAGAGGTAAAGGGGGAGGTGGTGGTATCACATGATGTACCATTGATAAAATGTGTAGGGAAGATATAAAGGAGGCTGATAAATGCAAATTATGCGGATGTGTACCATCTGCTTGAAAAGCTGCGCTAAATCTATCGATTGAAGACATCATGGAACAGACTAAGGTACTTCTCCTTGATTTAAGACATCACCAGCACATACTATCATACTCTGGCAGTAGATTCAAACTTTCAAAAAAGCAGTGGAGAACACCCCACTTGATTCTAGATAAAATTTTATGAAGAACCCCAAAGTACACAACAGAAAATGAGAAACTGCCGGAAGTCTCAAGACCCAACTCATTGGTCTCCTTCCCACTCCCCCCCACCCCCATGTGGCCCTGTGAACACCGCTGGCAAGACTTAGATTCAAATTCAAGTTCCAGCTCATTTAGATGCTGTGAATCCAGATTAAACTGACAAGTGATGGAAGGGTTCTTCTTTGTTGGGCAAAATATTCAGTGTTTCCTTCTCAATGAGGAACATTTAGGAAACCCACTATGTAACATGGAGTCATGGGACAGAAAATAGAAAACACGCACACACCCATGGGCACGGGCGTGCACCATGGGATTTATCTCCAGAGTGTTACCTTTAAAAGGAGAGCAAGGGGTCAAGAATTATGCCACTTACACTCAGGAGCGGGCAGGGATCAGTAGGAAAAGTGAGCGCTGGTGGGCGCCGATCACGGACAAGCCTAACACCACAAACAACCACAGCAGCTAAAGATGAGGGGGCCTTAGTGGGACCCCCCCACTGGGTTAACAGGTCACCTCAAACGATGTGTTCACACTGAGTGTCAGATGAACTCTACTGAGACCATTACAGCTTCATGACTTAAAAACTGAGCTTAATTCTAAGAGGCTAATTTGTAAAAACAAACCATTCTCCTAGGTAAAGAGAACACTTCGATGTCAATTAAACAAACTGCCTTAAGACTGAAATGGAGATTCTCTGATGAGTATAGAAGGGTCCTATATTAATACAGGAATAAATGACATCCTTCTGAAGATGCGGTGTAATCTCTTACCATTTGCATATGGTGTGACCATCTTCTTATTGGTCATTACGCGCGCTGTAGCATTATTCACCTAAAAATGCAAAGGAGGAAGAAGGGGTAGGGAGAGAGGAGACCACGTTAGGGAACACAGAGTCGCTCATCCAGTAACAGAGCACTCAGTTTAATCAAATGTAAATTTCAGAAAGTATTTATTTAAATAATTAATATAGCAATATAAAATATTAATATATAGTATTTTAATTAAAGTGTTTAATAAATGAGGCTAACAAGAGTAAAATGCAGTTTCTTGTTCTCCAAATGGAAGACTAGGGCTATTTTACCACCGAGCACTCCAAAGAAAAGATACAGTTGCCAAGTGCTTTGGAGGTCTCTTAAACAGAGAAGTCTCTGAATTATGGAAAAAAGTACATTGGAAACAACTCTGTTTGCAAACGAACTCTGAAGTTCATTAATAAAACAGAGTATTGAAACAGGACTGGGTCAGGAAACAGATTTACAGGAAGATAAGAAAATAAATCTGTGGATTTCGCCTGTTCTCATGTTCAGCATTTTTGATGTTTAAGATTTTGCTGTGAGGTTAGTAAAAAAATATTTTAGAAAATGTATATATATATAGTAGAACTTATATTCCCATGTTGACCAGTATCAGGACCATTCTGAATTTTCTAGACAATGTGGTCTATCCACTGAAGAACAATGTTTTCAGAAGGCTTTTAAATTAGGCACTTTTTTAAAAGAACTGAAGAAAGAAGGCTTATGTTTCTTTTGTTTTAAGGTACTGTCCACCCTCATTACAGAACTGCCTAATTCAGAGCATTCTCGGTGCTAGGGTGAGCGGATGTTACAGAGACGAGGAAAAGACAGTGGAGCTTGGAGCCAGAATCCTGCAGCCCAGTGTCCCCAGTGTCAGAACGGGCTTGAGCTCTGGCAAGGACGGTGCCGCGTCACCATTGAACCTGACTGTGTGCTACCGCGTGGTCAGGTCATAAAACAGGCCAGCTCTTAAAAGAATTACAAAACACACCAAGCAGGAACGTCTTTCTTTGCCTCTGGGGATTTACATCACAGTTCAATTTGTGCGGTGATCAATCCGTGTTACGGAGAGACCAATTTTAGGGGGAACTGGAATCAAAAAACATCTTGAGATGACTTTTAGGGTTTGCGGCGTGGTAAATCTTCCTTGGCGAGGAAAAGAAACTCCATTTACTCTTGTTTGAGCCACCAAATAATATAAACATTTCACATTTAAAAAGAAAGAATGGGATACAACAATGATGAGACTGAGAGCATGCAGTTAAAACACACACACAAATAAAAGAAAGAAAAACACAATCAGTTTTGGAAAGAAGGGAGAGAGTGAAGAGCGAGGTTCTCACAGACAAGGGTCAGAAGGGGTCCGAGCTGACACTAGCTGCTAGAGCAGAAAGCAGCCAAGCACTAACAGGAAAATGGCCAGAACCAATCAGAAACCACCAGTCAGCAGAGACCCGACAGCTGCAGGTAACAGAGAGAAGGGGTGGGAGCGGCCAAGGGAAAAGGATGGGAGCCGAACTTGGGGAGAGAGAACAGCAAGGCAGGGGAGGGGTGGGGGGAAAAGAGAAAGTCGGCGGGGGAGGGCATGTCATGGGCAGGAAAGAGGGCTGTCAAGGGCAAGGAGAGAACAGTCAGAGCTACACACAGAGGCTTGGGGAAGAGGAAAGGAAGTAGGGGCAGGGAGTGCATTAATAAAACCAGCCAAACTCGGGGTTCAGAAACTCTGAGTAAGATGTGCCAGGGGGGAACAAGTCACCACGACGTCAGTAATCAAACAGCTCAGGCTGCTACAAACAGTATGTACATCCCAAGTCCAGGCGGCAGTACTCAACAGCATTGAAAATAAAATGGGTAAGGGAAAAGGGAGAGGAACAAGTCAAATCACATTTTGTAGTGTTAATGTGAGATGGCAGATGGACTTTTTCTTTCTTATTTAATTGTTTTGTAATTAACAATTTAAAAAGCTTCTTCTCTAGCGCTTTGTTTCACTTACCGCCCACGGGCACCATCGCCAGCATTGTGTATAGTTACCATGGAAAGAGGGAGTCAAGTGAAGGGCCCTAAATGCTAAACCATTGGAAAGGGAGGGAGAAAGCAAAATATGCAGACATCTTACTCAAAATGGTGGCTTTTAGATTTCATACTTTTAAAAACTGGGAAAGGGGGAGAGGGGCCAGTTAACCTTCACTGCGTTGTTACAAAGGGCTGGTGAACAGCAGGCGGCTGATGCGGACACAGGAACAGCCAGCCAGCAAAGCCTCTGTTGGAGGATCTTATCCATTAACGTTCGAAATTCTTGGTATTAAATATATTTGAAAACCCCCCTGAGTTTTGGGTTCTTTCTCCCCCGCCCCCACAACCTCCAAGGTCTTCTACTATATTCCTCATCACACGCACATGGAGGCGAACTGGCCTCCTGAGAAGGGGATACTGGCCGGACCCCTGATTCATTACAGGACACAATGTCATAAGTCGGATTGTTTTTAGACATTTATAAAGTTAGTTTTATTTTGGCCTGATCACAGGTATTCATACGGAGTCTCGCAAACTGAAGCAAAGGAAAAAAATCAAGAGAGCAGAAGGATGAACATTTCGGAGGAAAAAAAGTAAATGAAAAACAAATACACATAGACACACACACACAAGTAAATCAAAATGAAAACCCCCAGCAACTGAAAACTGTGGGGGGGGGGAGGGTGAGGGTAGAAGTGTTACTTTTATACAGTTTAGCGCAAGAAGGTGAAGGACAGAGAGACACGTACACACATACACGTGTGTGCAGACACACAGACAAGACAGGGTTCTGAATGTGAAATAAGTGGGGCAGTACACAAAAGAGAGAAATAAAAATATAAACCGGAAATTGAATTATTGAAGACATGCACCTCGATTTTACGGCCCTCTACCACGGTGCCGTGCAATTTCTCCCTGGCCCTGTCTGCATCAGCACTATTCTCGAAAGTTACGAACCCGAATCCCTGCATGCAGCGGGAGAAGGGGGAAAACATGCGCATCGTTATATTGAGATACTGATCTCTTGGTAAACAGAGAAAAAAATACCACAGTATGAAACTGACATCGGCAATCCTAGCGGTACTCTCCCAAAGTCACGTTTTTGGTCCATGCATATTTTGTAAAGGGAAATTAAATCCAATAAAAGAATGAAGAACTGTAGTAGTAGTAGTAGTAATAATAATAATAATAGCAATAATAACAGCAACAACAATAATGATAATGTAATTAACAACAGTAACAATAATGAAATAAAACAGAAAGCATGTGAGGCCAGACCAACATGAAGGTATAGAGTTACTCGGGTCAAACTATTCCACCAAGAATCTGAACTTTTTTTTTTTAAGTGTTCTTTTTCTTTCAATTCATGCCATTAAGACACATGTCCCTTTATGTAATATTAAAAAAAAATTACATAATTAAATCTGCCATTCCCCAGTAACTTCTACATGAAACCTTATATTTAGGGGCAATCACTGTATAATGAGATTTTTTAGGAGAGCTCATCATTTTTGCCCCACTTTGCCTATTGCTTGTGTCATAACCACATTTCCTCTGGGGATAGAATAATTTAAAAAATAGGCTTGATCTACAATTCTGTAGGCACTGGGTGTGGAAGACGAGAGCACCTGTGTTCATCTAAGCTAATGAAAATATCACTAAGCAGGGGGCAGTCAATTACGACTGGCACGCAGAGTAAAAATAGGTTCAGCTGAATTCCAGAAAACAGCTTATCCCAATCTGCCTAAATTATACATTTGTTGAAGCCGACATCTGCTACTGAATGTATTAGCAATTTTCCGTATGGAGGGAAAAAAGGAATCATCCAAAGGCAGTGGGAATGAGATCTAGGTTAGTGACATCCGTTGTATACTATTCGGCAGGAAAAGAATGCCATAAAACAGCAATGCAGTTGCTACTCTGAGTTAGAATTTATTTATTTGTGTACTGCACACAGCTAAATGATATGCAGCTTTACTTTGTTAAGGAGACAAAGCAGGAGCCAAGGAGTCAACCCATGTACTCCGATGTTCATATTTATTTGAAAACTCTTGGTCAAAATTACACAACATGTCAAAAGCAGCAGGATTCACTATAATACGTGCATGACTATCTCATCAAGCACTGTATCCGTTTCATCCTAGCACTCTGTCCTTATCTTTCCACTCTTTTCTCAAGCTATTTACATCTGTGAGTAGTAAATGCTTAGGATTTGCTGGCAAAGTGCTAATTTCTCAACAGTTTCACTGTCCCTCTCTCATTCTTTGAACATTCCACTGTGGGACAATCTGGAACCTTTTATTTGTTATTTATTTATTTATTTATTTTTTAAAATTTTTTAATGTTTTATTTATTTCTAGGAGAGAGAGAGAGAGAGAGAGAGAGAGAGGGAGTCACAGACTCTGAAACAGGCTCCAGGCTCTGAGCTGGCAGTCAGCACAGAGCCCAACGCAGGGCTCGAACCCACCAACCGGGAGATCATGACCTAAGTGAAAGTCGGATGCTATCATGACCTAAGTGAAAGTCGGACGCTTAACCGACTAAGCCACCCAGGCGCCCCTTTTGTTATTTATTTTTGCTGAAGGAAGTTCTGCTCTGCTGCTCTCCATGAAGACCTCTATATGACATATAACACATGTTCTTAAAGGGGAAGGTACAGAGTATACGTTGCTCTCGAAGATTTTACAGAAGCAGGGGCACCGAGGTGGCTCAGTCGGTTAACTGTCTTGACTGTTGATTTCAGCTCAGGTCATGATCTAGCAGTTCATGGGACTGAGCCCTGTGTTGGGCTCTGCGCAGATGGTGCAGAGCCTGCTTGGGATTCTCTCTCTCTCTCTCTCTCTCTCTCTCAAAATAAATATTTTTTAACATTAAAAAAAAGATTTCACAAAAGCAACTCCCATCATTTTGAAGGCTCTGATACTTTGCATGCTAACTGACTCTATGGCTGGGTGGCGATCCGTGGAGGGTCCCAGTGGATTATCTCTGCCTGTAACTGGGAAACCACCAGAAATACTGGAAAATGCAGTGCTAAGCCGATGGAAAATGTTAAACGTACTGAGGTGCTATGGGGTAATTTTAGTTAATGCTTTCCTTAAGAACGTAAGTATGTTGAAAATATCAATGGAAACACATTTTCAGAAGCACATTTTGATGCCAGGGTGTTAGAGCCACATCGGCCACTGTTGTGCTGGATCTCAAGTTCCTAAGTAACAGCACTGCTTGTCATCACGCTGGCATTTGCTGGACTCGGGAAGCCAGCTCTCCGTTTCTGGCGAGTCCTCCTCCAATAGAGAAAAACAACCTTTCAAGAAAGGTCACGGTGAGGAGTTTTTCTTTCACACTGCAGTGGTACTAACACCGTACTCCAACGGATCCTCAGAGCCTCAAACATTATAGGCCTTGGGTCAAATTAATAAATTATAAGCTAGTAGCTGGATAATTATAAGCTAGTTTTGTGGAGACTGACACCTAGGTTTTTAGTGTTAGCATTATGACTTTATGTACCCACCCATCCATTCACACACTTGTCTTTTAAATACATCCATGGGGTAGGAAGGATAAATCTGCTGATTTCATTTTTAAGGTAGAGAAAGTGAGTCAAACCATGTTAAGTACCCAAGCTTCAACAAAGGCCTTCTTCCTACAGTTAATGGTAAAAAAATTAGAAATGAAGCCTTGAAACTAAAGTTCGGGATCCTATGAACTAAATTACATTAGTCTTAAAATCCTTGTAGTTTTCTTTTTCAAATCTCACTGCTAAATGTGTTCTGTGATCTTCCCCTCTGTAATGTGGTGACAGGACCCCCCCCTGTGGTGTAATAACACCCACGAGAACCCAGGGTGCTGTCCTAAGCACGGGCATTCTACAGCTAGCAAATGACAAAGTTTAACATCAAACTCTGCTTGTGTTAAGATTTTCTCAATAAGGACTTTAATGTTCTGGAACGAAATTTCACTTTCAAACGCTTTATAAAGAGAAGTGCTTATAGTCCAAAGGAAATGCTAATCTAGATACCAAAGATCTAAAAATAAAGCAATCTTCACAGGCATCTTTCCCTAGCATAAAGGAGGAAGAAGGCCTTGCTGCTGCTTTGGGACTTCCTGATAGGATGCAGAGGTAAGAGGATTTCTTTCTCTCCTTTGCAGATAAGCAGGCTCTGTGGTGACAGAAGAATGGCCCCCCCAAAGTTGGCCACGTCCTAATCCCTGGTACCTGTGAATGTTACTACCTCACCCGGCAAAAGGGACTTTGCAGATGTGATTAAATTAGTGATCTTGAGATAGGGAGATTATCCTGCATTTTGCAGGTGAGCCCAATGTAATCACAAGGGTGCTTCTAAGTCAAAGAGGGAAAAGGAGAGCCAGAATCAGACCGAGTGCAGCAGCTTGAGAAAGACAGGACTGGCCATCTTTGGCTTTGAAGACAGAGGCGGGGCTATAGGCCAAGGCATGCGGGCCCCGCCTCCAGATGCTGGAAAAGGTAAGGAGTGGATGGATTATTCCTTAAAGCCACACCCAAAAAATGCAGCCCTGCAACACCCTGACCTCTAGAACTGTAAGATAATACATTTCTGGGTTTTTAAGCCACCAACTTCGTGATACTTTGTTTAGAAGCAATAGAAAATATACATCTCAGAAGTCTATGATTAGGGAGGTAAAAAGTATAACCAGCATTTTTAGAGTACTGTTCTTTACTATTTCCTCTCGGGCTGAAACTTTAGACAGGTGGTTTTCCATCAACATAACTACATTTGGGTTTCAAGAATGTTAACTGAAATAAAGCTTGAAGGAAAATTTTTAATGTTTATTTATTTTTGAGAGAGCATTGAGTCGGAGAGGGGCAGAGAGAGGGGGGACAGGGGATCTGAAGTGGGCTCTGTACTGACAGCAGAGAGCCTGGTGTGGGGCTAGAACCCACGAACTGTGAGATCATAACCTGAGCCAAAGTCGGATTAACCAACTGAACCACCCAGGTAGGTGCACTACTTGGAAAAAAAAAATTAATGTACCATTCCTTCAGTAAAATTTAACATTTTTGAAATGTGCCAGGAATCAAGCTAAAGAAGTTCCCAGATTATCCAGGTTTAAAAAGTTACTAACAGGAAAATATGCTTAAGTGAAATTATGTTTTAATGTCCCTTCATTCTTGGAAATCTAATTCACATTAAGTCTTGGATCTCTTGTTTTGAAAAGAATAGTTTAATAAAATTATGTTTAAACCTAACACTTCTTCCTTAAAGAGCTTCAAAATGATTATATAATGTATCTATCAGGAAAACATAGTAACCAGTCAGAAGAGCAAAGTCAAACTAAGATTTAATCTCAAATTCTTAACAAGAGCAAATAATTCAGATATTTAAGAAGACAAAAAAAAAAAACCCAGATAAACAAAAAGTAAAATTTTCATACACTTTTTAATTAAAAAAAAATTATGTTGCCATGTTTGTCTAACATGTGCTATCAGAAATATGATCCCAAGTCACGTATATAATTTTAAATATTCTACTAGCCACATTAAAAAAGTAAAAAAATATATGAAAGCAATGTCAATAACATATCTTATTTAAGATAGCATACATGTAACATGCTATCATTTCAACATGACCTCAATCCAAAAACATTAGTGAGATGTTCAATATTCCTTTTTTTCTGCTCAGTCTCTGAAAGCAGAGTGTATTCTACACTAAAGGCAGATCTAAATTTAGACTTGCCACATTTAGGGGCTCACTGTGGCCACTGTGCTGGCCAATGCAGGTATCTATGCTCTATACTGTCACCTAGGGCTCTCAGTTCCCAAAGTCCTTCTGTGTTAATAATTTAAATATACCAGTGTTCTATCAGTGATTTACCAGCTACCTTAGCTGTCTTTTGAAAACTGAGGAATGGTGTGTTTATCAGGAGTATGGCTGTGTTCAAAACTTCTCCCGAGTGTTGCAAAATACACTTATCACATCCATTTATCATCAAGGGCCTATAATAGAGCCGAGTAACTGCCACCTTTTTAGTCTGGCCTCAGGCTGCAATAAATAACAAGCAACAGGATGTAAAAATATTCTTAAATTTGTGTAATCTTTGAGTTTTTCCATCTCAGAAGAATGAGAAAGAAAATTTACCATGTAACTTTTAAGGGAGAAATCAAAAGCAGACGTTCTCCTGGGTATGGCCAGAACACAGAAATTAAAAAATAAATAAAAGAAAAATAAAACTAAAACCTGCAAGATGGTAACAAAAGAAAACAAACTTAAGCCCTCTGGGAATACATGCACTGTTAATTCAGTTTTAAGCATAATGAAAACCATTTCGCCTCAGCATTACCTATCAAATTCTACTGAAAAGCAAAGGTCTAGTTAGTACAATTTCAAAGACAGTCTTTTGATCGTATTTCAAAAGAAACAAATCATTTCCCTTTGCATGAAATCAAAATCCAGGGAAATGGGCAAGAAATTACAGCATGTTACTTCTGTCTGAGGATGGGTTAGAGGTTTCACCTTCCCTAACTCCAGCCTCAACTGGAGCCTAACCCAAACTAAGATCCCCATCAGTCCAGAAATCCACCTGAGAGAAGTAATGAGAACAGGTTAGCTAAAAACTTGCTGGAAATCCCAATAATCATTGCTGCGCTCTATTTTGTAGCCCTTTAGTGAACTTAATAATTGGCATTGTCTGTACAGGTGAAGGGCCCCTACATTCAGCATTTATAACACATGACCCTTCAGGCCACAACTATACCACAAATACGTTGACAAAAACTTTATGGAAAATATGGGCATTAGGATGTGTGTATTTCTTTACTTAATAAGCCTGGTAATTAATACCAACTGTTACCGGGCTGGGTGATAGTGAAAGGAATGGTGGGAAGTGTGTAAGTCAGGGAAAGGCAAATACCATATGATCTCACTCATGTGGAGTTTGAAAACAAACAAGCAAAGGGAAAAAGGAGGGAGAGACAAATCAAGATGGCTACCACAGGGGAAGTGGGCGGGGGGGGGGGGAGACGTAGGTGATAGGGATTAAGGGGTGCATTTGTCATGATGAGCACCAGGTAATGTGTGGAAGTATTGATTACACTAAGTGTCAACTAACTGGAATTTCAATAAAAACTTAAAAAAGAGTTTTTTGAAAACCAACAAGTTCTCAGTCACTAAAAGTATCTAGCAGAGAACACTAGATAACTAGGAAACCATTATTTAGAGTTCTGTTTAAGATTGAGTGAGAAAAAGACTGGGAGGAAACACGAGAATATTAGTGAATACCATGCTCTTTTAACGAGATATTTGTTTTCTGTCTAGTCGTTAAAAATCATGCTTTTCCTTTATAATGGTTTTGAAAAGGGTGCTTTTTAAAAGCTGTTACTCAAAGAATCTAAAGGGGGAGGGGCAATATGATTTGTTGTTCAAACTGGAACCCTCTGAGGGAGAAAGGGGACATGAGTGATAATCATGCTAACCAAGCAGGTATAGACGGGGACCACCCTAGATGAACCAGGACTATGTCCACTCTACCAAGATGTTATGTTTCTATTGTTTGTCAAAGTAATACTTTGTTATATGACGGTGACATCTGGGGAATCAGTAACGCTGTACCTATCAGTGTAATCATTTTCTAGACTCTGAGTGTATTAGTTCATTTTTTGGCAGCAGTGGCATTTTTTATCATATATCCTAATCGAACATGTTCAAAAGGAAAGTCCCCTTTTGTTTTAGTTAATCATAGAAAATTAGGTATGGCTGACCTTGTTTTTACAAAGGAGTATGGAGTAAAAAAAATTTTTTTAAATCACATGACATAATGTATGTAAATATTTTTGTGTGTGTATGAACGTACGTGATATGCATTCATTCCATAATCTAGGAAAACCAATCCAGAGTACGAAGGTGGAACAAGAAATACAGAAAACAGCCAACAACAAAGACATCGTGTTTTCAGGCCTGCTGGGGAAGTGGACTGCTGGGCTGGGGTGGGATGGGCGAGCAGCGTGGCAATGCTCACTTGTGTTGGGAAGTGGACATGTTCTCAAACCTCAGGCTGACAGTCTCATTATAAAACAGAAGATCCGGTAAAGAGTTGCTTTTTGCTTTGGAGCCCTGTGGTTACTTAATTGTTTCACTGATGACTGTTTTACGTGGAAAGATCACTTATCTCAGAATTATTTTGTGACTCGTTTTTCCATTACTGCTTCAAGAAAAAAAAATTCAATAAAGCTGATCTGTGTACAGAAAAGCACTCTTAGAAAGACTGAGCGACTCTTAACTGAGCACTAGGACCACTTAAATCTCCTTATCTCTGGTTCCTGTCAGGGCATGTTGTAATTTTACAGTCAACCGCAAACAAAAAAGAAATGAGAAAATGAACTTTATTTACAGAAAAAGTACTTATTAATTTATGTTAGGTGGATACAGAAGAGGTATCTGGGCTTTGACTCCAAAATAAATCTCTGTGAACAAGTCTCTGAACAGTTCTGGGGAGCCCAGTGCAGCAAAGAACTCCAGATGACAGTTAAGAAGTTGGGCAAAGGATGAAGACAGACTTTGCATCAGTCCTTAAAGGCAGATCCAGGCAACTGTGAATTCTGTGCTTTAAGAACAATTGCCAATCAAGTACATGGTCTAGTCGTGAGCAGCCCAAAGTGAGAGGGGCTAGTGAGGACATGAGGGCACAGCATCAACTGGAGAGAAGCAATAAAGGCTTGGAGATTCCCCAAAGAGAAAGGAAGGCTTGTGTCCTTTAAAAGTGAAAATTATAGGGGAGAAGCCATTGAATTGGGCAAATTAAACAATTTTGGGTAGTAGGCACATCTTTGAAGTCAATGAAAGGAGCCTTAAGAAAGATCAATTTCCTTTGCTTCACAAAAATGCAATCAAATTATTTTCTTGGTAAGGAGCAAGTTCCCGGAACCTAATGAAATCATATTGGGCTTCGGGGCTGTTGGAGGCTGGTCAAGAACAGTTTAAGTGCATACACTTAAAACTATAAGCATTTAAACTATGAATTTGGGTAAGTAGTATAGCATATAATCCTCACATACTTATGATACATCTCTGAACCACTGACATTTTTCCACCTTGTATCTAAAAAGGTCACAAAAAATACAAGCAAACTATACAACAAAGGAACAGGAATCCACTGTGAAGAAACTATAAGCATAAATGGTTTTACTGGTTACACGGTGAACAGATTCCACTTTAAAAATACTTACCAAATTAAGTGCTGGAGAAAGTTCTGCATAGGCATATTAATCTTTTTTTGTTTTAAACCGAAAACTGGAAGCTTAGAATATGATTACCTATTTAATATTTAACAATAATTACAGTCAGAATTAAACACTATCAGTGTGGATGCATTCTATAAAGGGAATAATAATCAGGAGCATTAGAACAGTACATATGTTTGTGTTTGTTCAGATGGGGCAGAGGTGTGTGTGTGTGTATATATATATATATATATATATATATACCTCTGCAGATATATGCTCTTCATATCCAAGGTGTGATGAATTTGGAGTAAGAAATTGAAGAGGTAAATATTAACTCATTTATTTGCTTTATTTAGCTTTTCTCAAATTACATTCTTCAAGATTAAATCATAGCCAAGGGCTATTTTCAAAGTTTGGGAGAGATGAACAAATGGAAAACGGACTCAAAATGTGTCCTATCCTAAAAATCCAAGTCGAAGTGAACATAGCAAGGTAAATATTCACAAGCTTGGTCCCAGCTGGTTATGCCTGTAGGGTGCATTTCATTTGTTGAGGAGGAAAACTGTTAAATGAAACTTTCTGAAATTCAGTTCATGAAACATTTTTCACAACACCACTGTTAAGACTTCATCATTCCTTCATTCCTAAAATCACAACTGCTTATGTTAGTGCATGGAAATTTTAGATCCTATAGATTGGGAATTTAAAATGGTAAATTATGAGGGGGAAACGAGTTTGAATTACAACGTTCAGTTCTCCTACAGAAAGCACTTCGAAGAGAGGATCTATATCGAATTGTGTGCCGTTACCACAGCCATCCTTATGTGAAAAACTCAACGGACTGCATTTGTCACTGACGGGGTTCTACAGACCAAAGCTTGCTTATCTGGGTAGGACTCAAGGGGGGGAATCAGCTTACCACGAATTCCTGAGTCACTACTCCCTGTATTTACGCCTTGTCAAATTTATTCCAAAGAGAGAGGAAGCCAACCGCACAGCTGAAATATCACATTTGTTCTAAGTCTGTCATTTCAAAGTCAGATTTTTGAAAGCTGAATTGTTCTGTTGGAATTCACACTAGAATTCTCCCACAGAATTTCACTTGAGTCTTCTCTCTCTTCCTTTAAAATAAGCAGGTTAGGGCAATTTCGGTCTGATAAAGGGCTGGTGTCTCCTACACCCGATCCTCCTCACAGCCCGCCCCCTTCCTCACACTTCTCTTCCTCTCCCCCCCCTTACCCCCCCCACCCCGGGAAGTACTAGAATAAAGTTCGGCCATGTGGTAGCTTATTTTTAGAGATAATCTAATCCAAGCCAGATAAGTTGGGATATTTTGCAGGCTTGAGGAAGAGCTTTAGTTTTCTGATTACTTACTATTTAAAACAAAACTAAAAAGGAACCAAGCACACTTAATGCTGAGAGAGCTTACCTTAGAGCCACGTTCATTAAAGATTATTTCTACATCTAGGATTTTGCCAAACTGCTGCAGAGACAAAAATAAAAAAATTTATTCATGGTAAGCTTTTAACCACACATTTAGTTTCTCCTGAAATAATTTTTCTTTCTTTTTTTTTTGCTTTTAACTTCTTATTTAACTTCCATGTTACTTTCTTTTTTCTTTTTTTATTTTAATGTTTATTTTTGAGAGAAAGAGAGACAGACTATGAATAGGGAAGGGGCAGAGAGAGAGGGAGACACAGCATCTGAAACAGGCTACAGGCTCCGAGCTGTCAGCACAGAGCCCGATGCAGGGCTTGAACCCAGGAGTGGTGAGATCGTGACCTGAGCTGAAGTCAGACGCTTAACTGACTGAGCCACCCAGGTGTCCCTCTTCCATGTTAATATTTGTTGGTAGGCTCCAAAACCGGTTTCTGAGTTTTCCTTATCGCTGGGCTGATGTCTCTTTTTCATTCCTTATTCAGCTCACCCACGCATGCAGTATCCACCTCTGCAGGGTGGAAGCTGTTTCTAGAAGATATGCACAGTGTTGCCTTTTACATGCTACTCCCAGGATAAGAACTAGGGGTTTTCCCAACCAAGTCTTTAATTTTTCGAAATGTCCCAGTTTTTAAGAAGCAAATCCTAAGTAGAAAGATACACTATTGAAGGCTATTTTTCTTCTCCTTTTTTTTAATTTACAAAAGTAAAAGAAAAAAAAAGAGGTCAGAAAGTACAAATACCTTACCGTTCTGGTACAGCCTTCCCAGCTTTTCCTCAGACATGTATTGTTAAGGAAATGTTTCCATGTGTTACTTTTATTTTTTTTAACGCAATATACTATAAACAGCTGTCCGAGCCAATAAATACATATCTATGGTCTCAATTCTACAGACTACATGCTATTTTCCATTGTGCTTAATCATTCATGGACATTAGACAGGATTTCATTTATTAGCCATTTCAATCTTTCGGCAATGGACATGACCAAGAGCATTTAAAAAAAATTTTTTTTTAATGTTTTATTTATTTCTCAGAGAGAGAGAGAGAGACAGCGTGAACAGGGCAGGGTCAGAGAGAGAGAGAGGGAGACACATATCGGTTCTCAGCCTTTTGGCTAAGATCAAGTGTAGAGAGAGAGGGAGACACAGAATCCGAAACAGGCTCCAGGCTCTGAGCTAGCTGTCAGCACAGAGCCCGACGCGGGGCTCGAACCCATGAACTGTGAGATCATGACCTGAGCCGAAGTCAGATGCTTAACTGACTGAGCCACCCAGGTACCCCTACCAAGAGCATTTTTAAGTAATAGCTTTGTTTTGTACTTAGTTAAATATTTTAATATTTGGGGAATGAAACAAAGCTAAAAACACAAAGCCTAAAGAACAATATTGGTAGGTAGCTAAACGGGGGACTGAAGGAAGCATACATAAAAAACACAGGCGTTATCTGGAGGAGAGCATGTAGAAGGTGACTCCTGTACTCAGTACCTGGAGAACTGGATGGGAGAGATGTGCAGTCAATCTCCAGGTATCTTTTCGTCACGCCTCCCTCTGAACCCTGGACTCCCAGACCCAATTATCTATATCATTTGGATGTTAATATGTATATATTTTTTTAAATGTTTATTTTTGAGAGAGAAAGAGCGTGTGTGTGTGTGCACATGCGCAAGAGGGAGAGGTAGAGAGAGGAGAACAGAGGATCTGAAGCAGGCCCTGTGCTGAGAGCAGAGAAAACCTGATGGAAGGCTCGAACTCATGGACCATGAGATGGTAACCTGAGCTGAAGTCAGGCGCTTAACCCGCTGAGCCACCCAGGCGCCTCAATGTCACTTGGATTTTGGGAAGTGTGAAAAAATTAAAACATGAAAAGAAGGAAACAAATCATGCTTTCCCATTGGGCTAAATCATTACTATCTGTATCAGAAAAGATGTTACTAAGAGCCCAAGTTTTCTAGAGTAAGACTTCTGGGCTCGATTCCAGTTTCATCATTTAATAGGACATTAGGAAAATAAAGGAAAGAATAAAATGCCTTATTTGGGGTAGGTGGGCATTTAATTTTAGTTCTAGGACTACCCAAAAAACTAAGATTTGAATGGTATTTTAGAGTTTGCTTCCTTTTACATTTTCTAACATGTCCTTACACTATCCTGCTAGCGCGAGGGCTGCCTTCCTTTAATGGTGAAGGGAAATGAGGCTGAGGGAAGCCATTCGTCAAGTCTGCAGAACTGAGAAAATGGAGCACAGAGCCCCTGCTCCTCACCAGCGCTGTCCTCCCGCGGGGTAGGTGTCCCCCAGGCAGAGGAAGGCAGAGCAACTCTCCCAGGTGTCCCTTGCAAGGAAAAGTTTTCGTGCATGCACGTAGCAGCCATGTAGGAAAATCACTGATAACTGGCCCAGGCAGAAATTCAATGCGTACAATTTTTCTGACTCAAGAGAAAACACACTTCTGGCAGATGAGAATGTAACGGATTTTCACCCATCTCCTGAGATTAGGATTCCATATTATTTCTGATAATTCAGTAGAGAACCTAATAACTCATACTCCTGGGAAATTTCCTCCTAAATATAACCTACATTCTTAATGCCACCCTTTTTATTTTCTGTTGCTCTCTTTTCTAGTAGAGAGGAACAGCTGGCTACCGTTTTCTAGAAAAAGGCTCGTCAAGCACTTCAAGAACATTATTAAAGCCCAACGGTGGCCTTGGCTTCAGTGCAGAAAATACTCCGGGCACTCGGCGGTCAGGGACAAAACCTTGCTCCAGGGCCCTGTCACCACGAAGTGGCCACAACTGAGACTTCAAGTGGAGCACCTGCTTTTCTGATAGAGCCCCGTGCAGCTACAATGGCAAAGGGCTTTCTTAAACCATGACCTCTTATTCCTAGGTCAAGTTAAGACTTTGCTCAAATTAAAGCAGGCAACGACACACAAGCCCAGAAATACTCTGAAGACTTCCAGCAGTCATTCACTTTCCAGTAACTGAAATCTTCGCTGTTACCCTGTGTCCTCATGATGGTGGTTCTGGGGGGAAGCAGCCGGAAGAACAGGACAGAGGGAGCCAACTAACCCCCTGCTCCTGATTTTAGATCCTGGCCTTGACGCTGTTATGAGCAAGGGAGTAAAAACAAAATACAGGTTCTTTCTGCTTCCCAAACATTAGGTCACTGAGCTCGCAACACTTGGAAAGGTAAGGATTCCTGTCTCTGTCCTGATGTTAATACTGAATGGCTCATGTCCCACAAAGCCCCTTGGTCCCGGGCAAACCGGGTTGGCATGGTCACCTGGTGCATGAAAGAACCTGCACAGCCATTGTCTAAGATGACAGGAGTTCCCGAAGACCGATGAAAACACCGACTTTCCTCAGTCTGTTTGCAGCCTTATCCTAAAGTCCTGAGGACTTACCACACCCGGTAGATCAAATGAAAATGTCACTGCTAAGCCCACAGAAGGGTTTTAGAGACTTACCCCAAACATCTGCCGGAGGTCGGGGTCCCGGAAGCGGAAGGGAATATTAGAGACGTGCAGCCGCTTCGGGGTGGATTTGCTCTCTGAGTTCTCACTACTTTGTGTCTGTGACTGCGGGCCATCTGTCTGTGCGCCCCCTTCTGTCTGCTAAGCAAAGAAACAGGCAACAATGAGTGAAAAAGAAATATGGTAACTTCATAAAAATTATGTAAGATAGTTAAAAACCCCGATGCCAATCGTTCTCAAACAGTGTGTCTTTAAGCAAAAATTACAATTGTCCCTTCAAAGGGGGAAAAAGACCCAAACCAGAAACGTTCCCTGTGTTCAAATTGCTATGGTTTATGAAGAAAATTTAGGTCTTTTGAGTATTTATAGTACATTAGCAAAATGGGAGAAAACAGGGCTACTACACAGAAATACTAAACACTGATGCCCAAGACCACATGGAGATCCATTAGGTATGAAAGATATAAAACCTGTACCATCAGGCTTTTTTTTTTTTTTTTAATTTTTGAGAGAGAGAGAGAGAGAGAGACAGCATGCGCAAGGGAGGGTCAGAGAGAGAGGGAGACACAATCTAAAGGAGGCTCCAGGCTCTGAGCTAGCTGTCAGCACAGAGCCCGATGCGGGGCTCGAACCCACGAACCATGAGATCATGACCTGAGCTGAAGTCGGACGCTTAACCAACTGAGCCACCCAGGTGCCCCCATCAGGCTTTGATTCTTAGTGGAGTTTTCCATTTCTGCAAGCTTCCTATTTTGAAAATGAAGAGTCTGTTGTACTTAGCTGAGGTGATCATTGCGGTTTTGGTCTATCATTTCAGGAAATAGGGGAATATTTTCATGATTCATTCCCTCTATTAGTTCCAGAGTTTAAGACTCTGTATCATTATTCACAGTATTATTCACATAGGAGGAGACACCTAAGGACAGCGGGCATTTAGCTTCACCTGCAGGCGCTCAATCTGCACTGTGCTCCTAATCCGCGTGATTGCAGCTGACGTCAGCACAGGGACCCCAAGCTCCTGCAGCCCAGAGCAGAGCCCCGTTATACAAAATCTGCTGGGACAGGCTTTGCGGGCCCTGCGTGACCTTCTAGACGTGGGGAAACGCTAGGTCAGTGTACAAGTGTGGCATGCACTTTTAATCTTCAATCTCTTTTAAAGCAACGCCCCAGGCATTTTTTACCCCCATAAATCCTCAAACAAGTTGCTATGTTGAGAAATACTTTTGGCAATTATCTAACGGGTGTGATACGTTCTAGGTATTCAAAACACATTTATTTTAAAGTATTCAAATGGCAATTTAGGAACCTTATTTTTTTACTATTCCCTATGAAGTGCATGCCACACTGCAGGGCTCGCTGAGCTGATAAAACCAACATACTTTTAAAATAAGAGTGGAACTCGCTGTTCTTATTATCTCAAGTGAGTTACAACTGAGTCCCTAACAGATTCTTCTGAGTGACGCAGAGCAGATCTCCTCCCTTTGACCCAATGTTCAAGCAAAAGAAACTGTGAATCACAGATACTTTTGGCTCAGAGATGTTACCAACCAACTTGAAATGAAGTTCGAGACGTTAAAATATAAAGGATAATCAGGAATAAACGTGGAATGAATGCCAGCTTTTCAAGTGTCAATCTAAGCGATGGCAGCTTTTATCTCATTCCATTCAGGCCTTGCAGATGGCTTAAATGTGCCATGATTCATGTGATATAAAAATAGGAGAAAAGGGAAGAGCCATGAAGCAATGTTCTGCGAAAGTGTAAGGTTTTCAATCATCAATCTGGGCACAATGCAGACTAAACAGAGCAAATTCCATTTCAAAGATGAAATTCACTAAGTCGCTAAAACGGCATCATGGACACCAAAGCAATAAGCATAAGCATCAATTACAACTAATGCTCATTCAAGCACCTTCAAACTTGCCTCTTACATCTCACAGCTGGAGCCCATAAAACTATTTCTTCAATCAAACTTACAAAAATTTTTCTGATGTTTATTTATTTTTGAGAGAGCGAGAGAGCGAGCGAGTGAGAAAGAGAGACAGAGCATGAGCAGGGGAAGGGCAGATTTATTTATTTTTGAGAAAGCAAGAGAGAGACAGAGCACAAGCTGGGGAGAGGGAGACACAGAATCCGAAAGAGGCTCCAGGCCCTTAGCTGTCAGCACAGAGCCTGACGCGGGGCTTGAACTCACAAACCATGGGATCATGACCTGAGCCGAAGTCAGACACTTAACCGACTGAGCCCCCCAGGTGCCCCTTCACTCAAACTTTAAAACCACCAGATCTGATCTGCAGGAGGTCAGTGTATCACTGATAAAAGTTGAAAAGATGGACTCTAGCTTCAAAACACAGTTTTGTATGTATTTCTACATGTAACTCATATAATCTTTAAGATATATGTAAGGTGGCAGGAGAAATGAAAACTAGTGATTATTTCAAAGTATGCTGCCCAAGGTATTTATTTGTTACTTAAAAGTTTTTACAGCCTTGAAGACACAATTTAAGAAGAAGATTAGAGGCCAGACCGGATCATATTCAGGCCTTGAAGTTTTACACCTACATTTTTTTTTAAAAGTATAAAGTCTTTAACTCTAGGGACATATGGCAAGCTGAAAAAGTAAAGTATCATTTCCAAAAATCTTAAGTCTTCTGGCTTAATATAAATTTTAAAACTGAAATTGAACATACATAGATACAAATGCACAAATCGTAAGCATAAATGTTCACAAAGAATATACACCCATGTAACCATCAAATCCGATCAAGCAAACAGAACACCAGGAGCATTCCATTCACTGTCCCCTTCTGAAAGGGTCCCCAGTACCCTGACTTCTAACTCCATAGATTAGTTTTGGCTGTTTTTGAACTAAAAAAAAAAAGAAAGAAAGAAAAGGAATTATACCGCATGTACTCTTTTGTTTGCCCTTGTTTACACATTCTATCTGTGTAATACACATACATATATTATTGTAATTCATCCATTCTTCTTCCTATTTATAAACACACAGGACTTATTCAAGCTGCTTCCAGTTTTTGGCTATTAAAGATAATGCCTCTATAAATATTTTTGTGACATTCTTGTCTTTTGGTGCACACAAACGGCCATTTCTGTTGGGTGCACAGGCATCCAGGATTTGCTGGGTTAAGGACACGTGTAAGTTCAGCCTTAACAGAGACTGTCAGTTTTCCCAAGTGGTTGTACTAACTTATACTCAACTGTGAATAGCTGCAAAAGTTCTAGTTGTGCTTACTACTGTCCTTTTCACTGTAACTATCTGGTGGAAGGCAGTGGCATCCACCACTACCATAAGCTACCATTTCTTCTCTTAAGTCTGCTTTCCACTTACAGAACTTCGTTGAAAAATGAAGTGCATTTCTTCAATGCAAAAAATGAAAAATGATTCAATTTTCAAATGAAAAATGAAGTGCATTCTTGAGTGCATGCTATATGATAGACTCTTCTGTAAGCCTTTTAACAATAGTTAATACTTACATAGTGTTTACTATTTGCCAGACACTGGCCTACATATTTTATGTATTTTAATTAATGTAATTCTTGTAACAACTTTAACATGGCATTTTTGTAAACATGAGAATGTAGGAGGTCCTTTTTATTTTTTAAATTTTAGAGAGAGACTGGAAGAGTGCAAGTGGAGTGGGGAGGGAGACGGGGAGAGAGAGAGAGAATCTTCTCATGGGGCTCGATCCCACAACTCTGGGATCATGACCTGAGCCGAAATCAAGTCGGATGCTCAACTGACGGAACCACCTAAGCACCCCAGGAGGTGCCATTTTTTTACCCCACTTTTTAGATGAGGAACCTGAAAAACAGAGAGACTGCGTAAGCGGAGGATTAGGGATTCAAACACAGGCAGTCTGGCCCCAGAGGATGTGCTCTTAACCACTACGTCATGTACTGTCTTTTCTAATCCTCACGATAATCTATGAGGCAGGCACTATTACTGTCCCAATTGACAGAGGCATAAAGTAAGGCATAGAGAGGTTAAGTAGGTGTCCAAGGTCACATATTAAGGCAGAGCAGGGGGGCACCTGGGTGGCTCAGTTGGTTAAGCATCCGACTTCACTCAGGTCATGATCTCACGGTTCGTGGGTTCGAGCCCCGGGCTCGGCTCTGTGCTAATAGCTCAGAGCCTGGAGCCTGTTCCAGATTCTATGTCTCCCTCTCTCTCTGACCCTCCCCTGCTTATGCTCTCTCTCTTTCTCTCAAAAATAAATAACATATTAAATTAAAAAAAAAAAAAGTGGCAGAGCAGGGACTGAGAACTAGGTGGCGGACTTTCATGTGCTAAGTCTCCTCCAGTCCAGCACGGCACCTGCACTCCTCTTCTTCTCATCAGAAGGGGGAGCATATGTGAATCCCACTCTCTTTCCCAGTACCCTCACCTGCAGGAGCAAGACCTCCTCGGGGCTAGAGGCGGGCATGACGGTAAGGGAGAGGAAAGGCTATACAACAGTGTCATGTATTCTCGATCTTGAGGGAAGAGGAGTAGGTCGGGCCACAAAGGGAGGAAAAGCAAGAGGAAAGAAAACCTGCAAAGGCACACTCCCAAACTGATACTCACAGGGGCTGAAGAGCAGATTGCTGTACACAGTGGATTTAGGGATAGGAAATATACATTGAAGGTAATTAAACAAGATACTTCCTATTTGACATCCTCAATGTGAAGTGTACCTCAACAGAGACCGCTAACTGTTGAAACAGAGAAGTCAGAGAGAAAATGTAAGTGACACTTTTTAGGCTGTATCTTTGTGCAAAGTGGACAATTGCACTGGTCTGAGAAAAATCTCCGTGTACACCATCAGTTTGCTTTATTTTCTATGGTTAGCTACTCTCTACTGACTGTACAACCAGCCTCCCAAGCTTCTGTCCTTCCCTTCTGTGGTCATTTTCTGACCTAATTTATTCACTGGGCAGAGGATGAAAACAGAAGGGGCTGGAGTCTGTCCTGAGAGTTCACAGTGAGGACTGGCAGCGGCACTGCTGGTGCCCTCCTGGGACTACTGTCCAGGGTGTGGACTGGCCACGGGGGGACTACCTACCCCGATGGGGTCTGGCCGTCTGTATACACTGCAGAGGAGCACAAGGCTTTTTACACTGAAGAGCCAAGTGAGGTCTGTAA